ACATGATGCCATGTCACCTACACCACAGCTTGCAGTGCAGCCGCAACTGCCCAATCAGCCAGCCAGTCAGCCAGCCGCTGGTTCGGAGCGGAGCTGTAAATAGCATCCTGCAGGCGCCTCTAGCCTGTCCAGCTCTAGCGTGTCAACACCATTCGCACTTTTTCTTCTTCTCTTCTTCTGCTCCCCTTCCTCGCTATCTCTCTCCAGCTATGCGTGTCGGTCTCTCTCTGATAAATCTCTCCTGCTAATGTCTTGGTAAAGCTCCTGCAATCAACACCATCATGACAGGCCTCGTCATCAAAGACAGGGAGAAAACGGTCCGTCGAGGGAGCTGAAATATGTTCCCCACTCATTGATGTCGGCGGCACACAAAGAGCTGAAGACCCCTAGAAGCTAGAGTTTCAGGGCAGGAAAAACAAAAAGAAGACCAACGGCAATGGTGTCTAGCGGGAATCCAGGAACAACACCAACATCGGACGCGGTTTACGGTTCCTGCTCACTAAAAAGCGCCACAACCATGCAACGACTGCCTCTGGGCCCGCTGTGCATCCAGCTCTGGAGCTCTGGCGCACCAAAAGCCGCCTAGGACGGCTCGCTAGCGGCTCTCGTATCGAACCGCCGGGACTGGACTTGATCACGATTCCTCTTCCGTCGCTGTTCCCATGTTGCCATGCAGTTGATATGCATAAACCATTGAATTCTTATGCTTTTTTTTCTTAACATTCGCCCCATCTTTTGTTCCATCTCCGCCCGCCCTCCCGCTCTCTCCCTTTCATTATCTCCCTCTGGCCCCCATCAGCTTGCGACCCTGTGGCGGCGTCAGCTCTCTCTCAAGTTCCAGCCCTTCGGTTTCTCTCGACACTACTGTAGACTACTTGAATATTGACCTCGCGCCAAACATGGCCATCCATGGATATCAGCTCTCCTCCGTAGGCTCTATCTCTATCGCCTTTTCCCTCTTGCGGCCAAGTTCCGCCCAAGGCCAACAGGCACAGTAAAAGGCCCAGCCCAGCCCGACATGAAGACCGCATGACGATCCCTGACCTGCAGCAAACCATTGAAAAAATCTCCCATTCCCAAGGTTGCCAAGCACCCAGGGCAAGAAGAGGAAACACCCCGGTCGCCGAATGTCCGTTCTCAACACCAACGCGCCGCACCGTACTAGACTACACCACTAAACCACCACAACACCACACACTACACCACCCACGTCCTCAGCACATCGGACGGTTCCTGCGCCTCCCGTGCGAATTTGTTCCGTCATCTTGGAAAGGGCTTCCTCGGGCTGTTTCATTCCCTTCAATCGGGCCATTTCGAACGTGTCTCCCATCTTTCTAACCCGGCGCCCTCGCACCCAAAAAAAAGTAGCATCTCATCAATGGCGCGATAACATCTTTCCGTTTCCTTCCCAAGTGAACGCCGCCCATGACGAGCAAAACGGCAGAGGCGTCCCCCCCTGCCCCCTCCCTTGGTAAACCAGAAAGACGACGCGGCCCGGACGGCACGGAGCCCGGCAAGCAGCCTCGTAAAATTCATCCAGTCGGGTACCGCGACCGAGCACGAGCACTGCGCACGCCACACGCGACAGCGACGCTGGACTGCGAAAAAAGCTCGTCGACCATAATGAAGCAACCCAGCACAGACGGCCAAGAAGAAGAAGAAACCAACACCAACACCGACAATGCTCTTGTCGTCCCAAAATATCGGGACCGGCGCCCATGTTTAAGATGGCAGGACTCAGCTAACTGACACAAGACACGACAGCTCAGCACGTAGCAAGCGCCCATCAGGGGACCCGAGACAGTGCAGACCGCGCGGCCACCACCCGTGCTGTGCTGTCTTGCCTGTCTGTCTGTCTTCCCCCTATTGCCGGCTGCCGCTCGTGCTCGTGCTGGGGCTGGTGCTGGTGCTGGTGCTGGTGCTGTCTTACACCCTTTTCCACTGAATCTTCTTTGCTCATGTTGCCCCTCCTCTGCCGAATGCGCCCGGATGTAATTGGCTGTCATGCTTGTAAGACGGACGCAAGGCACGCTGTCTGCGCGCATGGTCAGCGCGCATTATTAAAACCCATCTTGGCGGCTGGGGTGGGATGGCCGGTTCTTATCTGACTGTCCCCATCGCTTGCGGTCGTGCAGAAGTAGTAGATAGATAGGCAGTTGGGGACGGTGCAGCCCGGCTGGCCCCCGCCTTGGGATTGTTTGGTTGGTTATGCTGTCAGACAAACTCGATGGAACAGGCAGGTTGAAGGCATCGTGAACTTTGAAGCTGATAAATCTTCTGGAGCTTACATCGGTAAGAAGACGATGCACACGCGCCACCTCGAGGCAAAGGCCTCAGGCTGAGGTCGAGGTAAGATGCTGCAGCTCCCTCAGTCTCAATCAAAAATAATAATTGAATTCATGATAATTCCTTGTCCGAAAAAACATCCCTTGCCTCAGCATCGTCAGTCATACTTCAAAGTTGTCGCAGGCCGGCCCGCTCGAAGGGGAATTATCTCCACCATGATCCTCCCTTGTGACGACAACGGGCACACCTAACCCTGCGTGGTCGTGTCTCCCTGGCCACCGGCTGTCCGGCAAGCGCAGTAAACCTACTTCTCGTAAATTCCCGAAATCGAACGTAGAAGGGAGTTCGAGAAGGCCCCTCTTAGTAGCCACATCGCATGGACCGCACCCCGTCTTTGAAGATCTCCGCGCCGTCCCGTCCGTGTCCATGACGATCATCAACTTCCGCGGCCCAGGCTTGGCGGGAGGGCTCCTTCACGCTGTCCAAGACCTGGATAGCATTTGGCTTTAGCAGTCTTGAGGCCATCGGGAAGATACACTCTATTCCTGCTCTCTTTATTGACGAAGAAATACAAAGGTTTCCCTACAGATACTGAAACCATACTTAGACTAGAGGTTGGGTAGATTTACATTTGGCAAATAATCTGAGTTAGAATTTCATATGATAAGTCCATAGTACGATCTCGCTTCTCCTTGAAATGACCTCCAGCTAACAGGGTACTTCTAGAGCTATCGATATCTACTCTTGAGATTTTCGCGATCTACATCCTTGGGGTTATCTTCTCCTGCGACAAGAGTTTCTCAACATCTTTACACGCAAGCATGCCTCTCTCAATCGCACCATCAATGAATCCCCTCCAGCCATCAGCCCAATCAGCACTTGCAAAAAGAATTCTCCCATCAGCTCTCTGCAGTTCTTGCAGAGACTTGGTCATACTACCGGGCCCCCAGCAACTCCAAGTGCCCTTGGCGAATTCATCAGTCACCCAGTCATGAGTGAGGTACGCCATAACCTCAGCATCAGGGCACATGTGCTCTTTGAAGCTCGAGATGATCTCGTTGTTGGCATGGCGGTTTGTGAGATGCGAGCCATAGCCGAAACCAATGCAAAACGTGCCCTTCTTGTCGGTGGTTCCATTGTGGTCGGAGAACGCAAAGCACCACGGAGAGCTCCCGTATCCGCTGGCCACGGAGAACCATCCCGGCTCCTCCCGAGCTAGGTGAAAGTGGATCTTGGTTCCTTTGTTGATGTGGCCAGCTTTGATGGCCTCTTGACGGCGGGGAGATAGGGCAGGCGAGAAGAATACTCCAGAAAGACAGTTCCTGTGTTGCGGTGAGTGTTTATTTTGTCCTCGCGGTAGGGAGGTGGTCAACAACTTACAAGGGGATCGTCGAGACTAGGTACTTTGCTTCGATACGATGCCCGGCTTTCGTGGATACAGTAACAGACGCCCCATTCTGGACCACCCGATCGACGGCGGCATTCAGCACCAGATGTCCCCCATAATCGCTCAGAATGCTTCGAGCCAGGGATGTCATGCCCCCCTTGCCAAGCTTGTACGTTCCCGCGAGCTCAAACACGCCGGCCATGGAGTGGCCACCAAGAGCATACCACCGGAGCACCTCGGTAAAGGCACATTGATCTCCAGGGACGGCGCCAAAGGAGCTGATCATGGCATCGAATAGATCCTTCTCGAGCTGTGGAATATCCAGTTGGTCAAGACGATCCTTGGCAGATAGATGGTCGTACTTGATCCAGAGAGCAGGCTCACGAAGCGGGTCGTGGGGGTACGGCATTAGCTTGCGGCTGGATAAGCCGTCAATTGAGAAGAACGCATCGGCGGCTCTCTGAACGGCTGCGTTCATCTCTTCGCCATTGATCTCTTGAGAGGGAGAGAAGGCAGCTGTGTAGCGGGTTGTCTCCACGTCAGCGGTCCCTGCAGAGGTTTTCAAGTTCTTCTGCAGTCCGTATCGCCGAATTTCTGTGAAGACATGCGGCTGGTTCCTTTATGGGTGTTAGTGTAGGTAGGTTATCGTGAAGTGAAGATGTTACCAATGAACCCACGTCCCTCCCATCTCAAATTCTTCGCCAAGGGCTTTGGCAGTCCATGTTCTTCCCCCAATGCGGTCCCGGCCCTCCAAGAGCAGAACCCTCAGATGCAAGTTTCGGCTTAGATCTCGAGCTGCGACCAGCCCTGCGAAGCCAGCTCCAATGACGATAACATCGTAGGTGGAAAGGAGAGAAGAATCGGGCGTGCTGCTGACAACGGCGTCGGTCTGGAGGCCAACTGTCTCCCCGGCGGGAGTCCAAATGTAGCCTTCACGAGTAGCAGACATGATTCCGATGAGCAGAAAAGAATCTGGCTTGGATTGTGAGCATCATGGTTGAGAATGAAGTTTGATATAAGGTGATGCCGGGCATGGGGGTGCGGGGCCCCGGTTGCCTATTTGGGAGAAAAAGTGCGAGGTTGATTGTCTGTGCCATGATCGTTGACTTGACGTCGTCCACTGCAGGGCTCGGAACCAAAGGAACTCCGACTCACAAGTTCAATTTCTAATCCGTTTGGTTTTGGGTCTGATGTGTCGGGTTGTTGAAAGGTCCCGTGGGGGATATTTAAGTGCTGCCACACAGCCTTTTTGGGAGGACTCAATTGATCAGTTCCAATCACAGCAGACATTGCGTCTCATATTTCATCGACTACCTACTTTTCAAACATGCCTTTCACTCATAAGCCTCAGGCAGCTTCCAAAAAGCAGCCACCCATGGATGGTTCAACAAACGCCTTTGGGGGTGGTAAGTCTCTTAGAATCCCCGAAGCACCGACTCAATCTCTGATTACCGCTCAGATGTTGTTTCCACCAGCGATGTTGGTTCATCAAACCCGATATCCGCCGGCTTCTTCCGGATCGAAAAGGGAGAGCCATGTGTTTTCACGTATGAGTTTGACGAGGCGAAATACTTCACTGAGGGACAATGCCAAGTTGAGGATGAGACTGGCGCGAAGGTCGTCGCCAAAGCAGGCGATGTCATGCTTTTCACCAAGGGATCGACCATTTCATTTTCAACGGACACCTACGCTCTGGCATTTTTTTGCGACCAGAGGGCGAAGTTGTAAGCTACATGTGTTCGACGATATGGATCGAACAAGAGCCTGTGTATCGACAACAAGCCGTGTACAAAAGCGCAACATTCATGAAGCTATTTGAGTTAATCATCTAGCCAAGCATTGTTTCTAGTCTCTTTTCACACATGACATCGATCCAGTGGATGTCCTTCTGAAAATATTCCCCCTCGCTAACCATGCTATCCATGAGCGACCACACTTCGTTCAAAATGATCGCAGCATGCTTGATAATGCGCAAGCCAACAGTGCGGTACAAATGAAGGACACGTGTCCGCACAAATTCTCTAAAATGCAAAACCTCTGTGTTGGAGGATTGCGACTCCATCGTTGTAGAGGGGAGCTTCTGCCTCAAAGCACTGCCTGCGATGAGCAGTGGCAGCGTTTGCGTCGAGACGGTGCCTGAGCTATCTGGCATCGCTCTCAAACTTTTCAGTATGTCAAAGGCGAGTTGCAGTACCACATTCGGTTGTGAGCTCCCTTCAGTGCCATTTCTTCGTAAGTGTCCGGACTCTTCCACTATTTCTGCCGACGCAAGTTCAGGAAACGCACCGTATATCTCTAGCAAGGCCGACAGCTGGTAGCATCGCGCAATACTAAGAAGGTGATCCGGTGGAGTGCGAGGATCGCCGACATCCTGTACTCTGTACATGACCGGAAGTTCGTAGCTCAGAATTGCCTGTTCCAGCAATGAAGCTTCGTTCAGCAAGTCCATATGCAACGCCTGTCGATAGAATTCTCCGTTTTTGACGAAATCAAGACTTCGCAAAGATCTTTTGTTTCTGACCAGTGTTCCTGCTTTTGCGAGGTGTAGAAAGATTGATGACCCTACTCCTGTCCATGGACATGGTGTTGCTGAGGGTTCTGCCCCGGATCGGTGAAATATTTCTAGGTAGTCCAGCACGTCCAGACTTTGATCGTGGATGAACGAGCTCATTGCTTCCCAATACATCATAGATGATGACAAGAAGGTTTGAACAGAGGTCATATCAGACCGCTTATCCGGATGGATCAAGCCATTGAAAGATGTCCAGCTTTTGAATAGCTGCCTCGTTCCGTATAGATGGGGTAGTCCAGTCGATGACGCATCATGCCAAGCCTATCACAGCATGAGCTTGAGAATGAACAGCACACTCGGATTTTAGACTAACCGAAGTCATTCCAAGAAGAATCGCTCCCAAGAGGACATCATCTTTCACAGTGAGGCTCTTGGAGATTTGGGTATCAACACGTACGGCATCAGCCTCCTTTGATTTGACAATGCTCGTTTCTGCCAGTTGTTTAGACAGACTGGATATTGCCTCCGTTTGATATTGCAGTGAGATGTTGGATTGCCCGATGTCGTTTTGGTGGAGATGCGCTGATGATAAACTCAAAATGCAATGATAAAGCAATGGCGATGTATTCAACATGCCGGAAACCTCATTTCGGAACGGATTGACGGACGAATCGAAGTTCGAAATGACTTGGCAGATCACTGTAAAGTAATGGTACACCACAATTGACGATCTCTCAGGGGGATTGTATAGATCAGGGAACATCCCATAGCCCAACGAGCCCGGAGTCCCGATATCTTCTCTCACTGATCCTTCATCTGAGTCCCGGGCTAGGAGATTTCGGCTTGAAGACGAACCTAAGCAGCTAACATCAGTCGCAAGCGCCAAATTTTCTATGTGGTCGGTGACATTCTCGGATGTTGAGGGTCTAGGGGATGTCGAGGTATCACTGCGTGATGCAGGTCGAGCGTGAGGTAGCAAGCTAGTACGTTCTCGGATGGTACTGCTTTTGGCAGCCAAGGCTGTGGGTACATTGGTTCTCATGGGATGTGCTCGATGAGCCATCAGCAGCACTGATGGTTGAGTAGAGGCATCTTCGCGAGATGCTGAGACATTTGACCGCTGAAAGGAACATAATTCGTGCTTGGTGGACCACTTGATGCGCGGTCCATAGCCTGGACAAGAAACCCCAATTTTCAGGCAACGGCGGCAGCTTGGCAGTTGCTCATCGCACTTCACACGCTATCGTCATGGTGAGGGTATCAGATATGGTGTTTGAGAAATAATAATTGAAAACGATGAGATCGATCACGTACCCGCTGCTTGCACACGGAGCAGCCACCTAAAACATCAGATTAGCCTCGATTGCTACATGCGTTATCTGGGTGAGATTCACTTCTGCCTTTTTGGTGCTTTTTCATTCTTGAAAGCTCGTAGGAATTATTTCTTGTTGTTTCAAACATGCCGGAAATCTTCAGCGAACCGTAAACGTATTCCCTCTGGGAGAGCCAAAAGTTCAGATTCGGAACGCGGAATGTTTGCAAGCGTTTTCCGAGCTAGATGTGCCGCCATCCTGGTGATAAGACAGATGACGCTAAACCCAAAGCAGATAAAAAGTGCGAGGTAATTGATAAACTGATAAGCAGGTTGCTTCCTGAAGATTTGCAGAATTGCGGAATCATTACCTAGATAACCTTGAACGTTCAGATCACCAACAGATGCAAAAAGATCAGAGACAGCAAAACTTTGGAGGGAGCCTTAGTGGTCATGGTGTGACAAAGCATTCAAAGAATTAAGTTGCTCTGCGGAAGCGCCAAGGTTTCTGAGCGTAAACACCGCAGCTGATCCATACTTCATCATCAAGATGCAAAGACTACGTTAGAGCTTTAGGGACTCTGTTAAATACTTGGAAATTACTCATTTGACTGGAAAGGGTCGTCTAAGAGGACATCTCACAGTGCATAGAAAGTGTTTGTTTCCCAGGTATATGGTCAACCTTTGTAAGGAGTATAGATATTTTTGTGTTTTATGCTGAGGTGGGTCCACCTTGCTGGGCAGCAACTAGAAAAATACAAGATTGAAATAAGAAAAGAAGGAAGCAGCACTTCACTTTTATGTACATCATAATCCTAAAAACAAGAAATCTTGTGAGCGAAGCGTAATTCTGACCTCGTTTGAACCACGAAAGCCCAGCCAACAATATGCAGAAACACGCCCCATCCCCGGCGTCGCAGCCAAGCAGGCTCACCCTCCTCGACTTGCCGGTTTGCGTCATTCTAATGATCGTGGATAAAGTCTTCGAGCATTATTTCGACGATTACGAAGGCTACATCACGAACAAAAGCGGATATGACATGGTAGAAGAAATCGACACAGGGCGAGGCGATACCTACCGGGCGTTCGACCACTGGAAAGACTTATCTCGAATGGCAGCATCTTGCAAGCCATTCTACAACATCATTACTCCCATTCTGTACCGACGAGATGTCCAATTCAACCATTCATCCGCATTCCTGCTCTCGGCCAAGAAGGGAAATCTTGACGGGATTCTCAAGTCAATCGACCTTGGACACGCCGATCTCAACATGGAAGACCATACAGACTTTGTGGAGGACGAGGACATTGACTGCCGTTCCTATGGTGTTGAGGATCGTTGGAGAGAGGGCGTCACTTCCACTCTCACCGCTCTGCATCTGGCTGCATACCATGCGCATCCTGCTGTCGTCGACTTCTTGCTGAACCATGGCGCTGATGTGCAAAAGAGGGCCGACATAGGACCCAAAGCTCGACCTGAGCGAATGTTTATCCACCAGCAAGTTTACATGTTCTCCCATACAACTGATGAGTATGACATCGTCTGCAATGAAAACGAGACTTCACCTCCCTTCGGGGCAATCGCCCTGTTCTTCGCTTTGAAAGCAGGCCAATATCCATCAATACCGCGTTGGAGGCGTCACGTTGTTCAGACTGATACGAACGGTATCCGTCTTTAGATGGCGAAGCAACTCATTCAGTCCGGTGCCTCACTCATCACACGAACCCGCGGAGAGATTCATGCTTTGCACCAGGCTTGTGCATATCTCGACTTAAACGTGGCAGAGTTCCTTGTTAAAGAACTGGGTGTCGACCCAAACGTCAGGGACAGTAATGGTAACACTCCGTTGCACTTCATGTTGATGAACCTCGACGACTGGAGCCCACATAAAGCTCAACGTGAACCGGAACACGTGCATGCCATGTTTTGGTTCTTGATAGGAAAGGGGGCGGACATTAATGCAGCAAGTCACGCTGGAGAGAAACCTCTCCATCTGTCGCTTTATAGGAAATTCAGCATTGACCTGGCTTGTCTTCTGATCGAGAGAGGAGCCGAATTTGACGCGGAGGCAAATAGCATATATGAAGGGGACCACTTCTCTGAGGCGGATCAAAGACGCATTTACACAGCATTTTGGGGCGAGAATGGGCAGATTAACCCATGTGGGACAGACTTGGACGCTACATGCTTACAAGAAGGCTAGTTATCTATGCAGGACAGGAACTTCGCGCGAATACAGCACATAGCTATCGTAGAGATTGGAAGAAAGCTGGCGACCGTGGAAACATTCATTGGGTGCTTCCACAAATGGCTAAATCCTGATACCTTCCAGCATCACCTAGCTTCATTGTAGTCTCACTGAGGATGAATAATACTGATATCAAATCAAAAGACTGGCTCGTCATCGAATAGATGCTGATGTCTGCAAAGTCTCACCAACTCCAAAATTTTATATTGCGTCTATTCAGCGATTTCCGATGCATCTTCCCAATTGATCAATAAACAAACCTGAATAAAGAGTGTCTGGAGACTGGTTGTTTTTAGTGAATTATCTAGTCATTTACCTACAATTTTGTTTCTCTTGATTTCTACTGCATTCTGAATTCATTGCTTGAAGGAAAGTTTATTGGCCTGCTACTATATTCACCGTCATCTCAGAAAGCATGGGCCGGTGCTGGTTGCTTTCGATGGCTTCAGCAACTAAGATCAAGAACCGACAAGAGAAAGATAAGGTAGCAGGCACTGGGATTTCAGTGATTTGTGAAACATGGGTTAATTCCAAACAGCTAACGGCAGGCCTTTGAGGGTGGTGAAATAAAAGTTATTGTGGCTCCTAGCTTCCTCAGAATCCAACAGTAAGAACTCTTCTTCCATTTGTGTTGACTTTGTATTATTCACCACTCCCCTCCCCTCTCATCCCCAAGCAACCCAACTACCTGTTGAAGAAATTCAGTATTCGAATTGATATTTCCCTTCTATGAATCTCTTTTAGAGACACTTAACCCTTCGGTTTATGGGATCTGCTTCGCTTCTTTTGACCTCTTTTGTCTCTTTCGCCTGCGTTCCCTCTGTGGAGACTGAAGGTGAAAGGTAATGGAGATGGTAGCGGCTAGGAATGACCGAGTCAGGAGATGAAGATGTGAAGTAAGGGAAAACGGGAGTAGTTTTAGGGCGCTTCAGCTTGGTGAATTTCACTCAGCTCTTACATGCCGATAACTGAGATGCCTTACAGGGATGTATCATTTTGAAATGGTAAACACAAAATACTTGAATATACGCCTGGCCATCGTAATGAGAGATGCTACCTAGAATCTACGCCACAAATCAGCCATAACGTAACTTCCCAGTGAGATTGTGGTATCCTACTCTTCAGAAAACCTAGGCTCCCGGCTGCTCCTCTGTATACCAGGCCCGGGTGACTTATGCAGCGCTGCCATTGTGGGCTCGTCTTGATTTTCAAAGGTCGTCGTTGGCAGCGGTCTCGGTGTCGGATCCCGGCCGCGCGTGACTGGTTCTGTGGCGCCATCTTCTACTGGTATGTTGCCTGGAGTATTGCCCCTGCTCATTGCTTCCGCATTTGTCCCCAAGGAATCGCCTGACCCTTCTGTGTCGATCGCTTTCGATGCTCTGCCATTGCGCCGTCTTCTCCGAATAAACCATAACAGCCCCACAAGTGACAAAGTAACGATGACTGAAGCTGCTATGATTCCACCGAGGGCGCCATCGGAGAGGCGAGTCTTTGAAGGACGCGCTGATGCGAGGTTTGTCAAAGGGAGCGTTGGTGATGTCGTCGGAAGAGAAGTCGTACTTTGAGTTGTCGATGTCGTCCGGGACGGATCGACAACCCAGCGGTCGGCGGTTGATGCCGGCATCACACGATAGCTACCTGCCTCATGAAAGGGTTCTTTTGGTCTTCCGGGTCAACTCAGGAAGAAGCAAAAGGGCGGATCAATTGTGCGAAGGAGGCAAGCGTCAGAAGTGTCTTTAATATGTTGACTGTCCAGGTGGCTACCTAGGGATTTGCCATTCTGTGATAGCCTGGGTCTAGAGCAGCTGATTTGCTGAGGCAGCCTGAGCGCAGCAGCCACAACAATGTGTCATTGGACTGACGTTAAGCTTGAAGAGTTCGGTATATTCGGTGAGTCCTAACCACTGACCACGCAGTTTTGGTGGCTTGACACTATCACTCTGTGCTAGCCGGAAGGGGGGGGGCCGGAAGCAAGTAGGCTGGTGCTAGTAAATCTCCCCTCCCAGCCACCTTCGCCTTTTTGAGGAGACAACAGAAGAAGACAACAGCCCGGCAACAATACAGCAAGGTATCTAATAACTGAAACATAACGATGATATTTATTACTTCGTAAGATTTGCTTCTTTTTCCTTACTACTTTCATACTTTCGAGGACTCCAATGCAAGATCACAGCAAGCCTATGAAATAATCAGATTGCTGAATCCAAAAGATTGAGCTTGTTCCGTCCACGAAGCGCTCATTGCCTCTTCAGCTCGAGAATGTAATATTCTTCAAAAACTCCCTTTCCAATGGATTCATTTCCCCTGACTAACTCCTGGCACGAGTACCCATTCTGCCGGGCGATCTGAACGATTGCCACGTGGTTTGCATATGCACTTGTGCCAAGGAGAATAACGCCGTTGTCTGTCAGATACCCGTCCGCCTCGCCGACAAACCTTCGCAACAGCTGATACTCAGAGTCCAGTGTTTTCTCCGATTTCAGTTGCAGTGGGATGTTCGAATCATGCTGCCATGGATGGTTCCAATAGATGAAGTCAAACTTGCCCTTGACGTTCTGGTAGATATTGCTGACGACAAATGTGCCCTTTTGATGGTTGATTTCAAAGTTGCTTTGTGTGACGTTGACGGCTTCAGGGTTGATGTCTACCCCAAATACTTGGGATCCAGCCGCAGCGACAGAGAGTGATGTGAGGCCCGACCCGACGCCAACTTCCAGAAAGCTTCCCTTATTGATGATGGGGGGAAGGTGCTGCGCGTACCACCAGGTCTCGGGAAAGTACTTGGGTGAGTAGACAGAAGGGTGGATCATGATAGTATGGGGTCCGAAGGTCTCTGTGTAAGGCGATTGGTGCTGTTGCGCCTGGTCGATGAGCTCAGAGATGCGCTTCTCCCACACATCACGAGGAGAGGCACGAAATCCGCCGTTGGTAAAAGCCGTATGCATTTCGACAAATTTAAGAAATGGGGAATGTGTAAGACAAGGTGTTGTGTAAGCGGTAAAGTGAGAATAGATCACCCGACTCTGAGACTTACGGAGGAGGGCATCTAAAGACCTTAAGTACAGATTGATGGCAGCTGAAGGAACACTCTTCAGTTCAATTTGGTCACCCCGTGTCGCAATACTTGTCTGTGAGCCAATCATCACCTCTTCTATCCCACGAGTCATGAAGCCCTTGGCGGCGACCATCTTGACAGGACTTGGAGTAGCTCGCCGAGCATGTCGAAGGTTCCCATAAAACAGTCCTGCCAGAAGAGCTGACGCAGCTTCAGCAGAGTCGCAGTCGCCTTGTATCACCGTGCTAATGCAGCAATGGCGGGTGAGGGGTTGTCTTTCATGGGACGACATGCTGAAGAGTCGACTATTTCTATTACGGAGGAATACTACGTGAAGCTCCAAGAACAGCTACGTAAGCGTCTGTAAGTAGCAAAACACCATCTGCATAGCTACGCTGAGGGAGGAGAAGGTTTCAATGGATCCTCAGTGATGCTCTCGAATATCACCCCAGAGAGATTGATATGCGGACCGGGCCAGGGCGGATCGGGCCTACCCGGCATTCGACGATGAATTGCGTGATATCACATTCAGTTCGAAACGAGGGGATTTCTGTCCCCGGTATATAAAACAGAAATATGTCGTCTTGTCCAGCAAACCCCACACACCCCGCACCCCGGATTCCGCAACCCGCGTGCCCCGGAGTTTGGCGCAGTCTTTTGTAGTTCCTGATATAGGTAAAGTCTGCCATATTTCATCGCTCTAATTGAACGAGAAAAAACCCGTGTGTCGATTCTCACGCTAGGTATTGCAGCAAGTTGGGCGGTGGCTGGACCAAGTGGCGGCGCTTCAGTGCCGGCTCGGGGCCTCGGACCCGGCTAGTCGTCGATCATTCGACTTGGACCCTGGGGCTAACTTCACAATGATGGCAAGCCTGCCCTATTTGGCAACGTCGAAGCCGAGGTAGCGGAAACTTCAGAGCTGACTTTGCAACATTTTGAGAACCGCTTCCCTGGCATCGCACGCATGAGGTGGTTGGCGAACTGTCCAGCGGGTTGAGGAGACAAGCTGACAAGCCGATTTGGACTAGACAAAATGTGCCCGCCGTTGCGAGATGATGGGCCTAGCACCAAAACGGCATCGCGCAATGTCTCAGCCCTCCTTGCAAAAATCGTGAGACCGTCAAGTATTGGATTGGTCGCGTCTTTTGCGTTTATCCAAATTGTGGATGTAAAATGGCCCTAATAACTTTGTTGGGGGTAGTCCTCACGATCATCGCAGGCGCTTACGCCTTGGACATCTTCGTCTTCTTCGCACGAGATACGCGTGAGCCACAGTATGTTAGGTCACGCGTCCCACTTATCGGACACCTCATCGGTATCTCCAAGCGCGGCGCTGGGTGGTACTACACTGACGTTGCGTGCGTTTCTTCTTCATGTCACATGGAACACCTGCGTTGACAGGTATTGTTAGGACAAACCAACCGTCCGGCGTCTTCACAATCCCCATCTTCACATTCAAGCTCTACGTCATCTCGGAGCGGAAGCTCATCAGCGCCATTCAGCGCCATGCCAAGACCATTTCTTTCACGCCGTTTGCCGCCAAGACCTCGAAGACGCTGAGCGGACTGGGAGATATCGTCCTGAGGATCCAAGACCATCTTCAAGGCCCACCAGAGGCCAAGGAGTTCGACAGGGTCCAGCGGGCTTCGATGTCTGCTGGCCCTGATCTGGATGCCATGGCTTTGGTTTCGTCAAAGGTGACTTTGGAGCTGGTTGAGGAGCTGGCCACGAAGGCGAACGCGGAACCTGGGACTCGGTTTGAGCTTTACACGTGGCTGAAGCATCTCATCGCGCTGTCTGCCTCAGAAGGCATGTTTGGGCCGATGAATCCCTTCCGTGACCCTGAACATGAGGCAGACTTCTGGTACGTGGAACAAAATGTCCTTTTAGGAATCATGATCTGACGTTCATCTTAGGACCTTCGCAGAAAAATCTCACATCCTTGTGATGGGAGCCTCTGATGCCTCATATCCTAGCCAGGGATGCTTTGCAAGCAAGGGAGCGCAACGCAGTCCGGTATGAGAATTACATCCGAAATGGTGGACACGAGGAAGCTTCGGGTGTTTTCAAAGGTAGATGTCGTGTTCTGAAATAAAATGGCGCTACGGTTCGCGATATGGGCCGCGTTCACATCGGCTTCGACATGGCGATGCTCGCCAATTACGCACCCACGGCTTTCTGGGCTGTCTACGAAATTCTTTCTCGCCCGAGATTGGCTCAGGAAATCCGCGAAGAAGTCCGCAAGGCTATCACCAAAGGTGATGAAGCGGACTGGGCTCTCGACGTTTCAATCCTCAAGACGGCCTGTCCTCTCCCGTTATCTTCAATCCAGGAGGCGCAGCGTGTGAACTCTGTCCAGGCCGGCATCCGCGAAATCCTCCGCGATACGACCATCCACACGGAAGACACTTCAGTTCTGTTAAAGAAGGGGAGCTACCTGCAAATCAACGGCATCTCGACGCTACGCGACCTGGAAACTTGGGGTTCTGACGCAGCCGACTTCGACCCGTACCGTTTCATCAAGATGAAGAGACCAGAGGCAAATACACCAGTCGTGGCTGCTGCCAGCGAGTTGCCGCCAAACGCATTTTCGGTTTGGGGCGTTGTGCCACATGTGTGTCCCGCAAGGTGGTATGCAACAGGGGGCATCACGGTGCTTGTTGCGATGCTGGTTCTGAGGTTTGACTTTGACGTCGAGAGTGATGCTCAGATACCAGGCAGAAGTGAGGTCGCATGGAGGAAGCCAACACCCGCCAAAGACTTTTCAACTCTGCCTCGCCCGGTGAGCCAGTGCCGGTGTTGTTGAGAGCGAGAAAGGAACTTGTAGGAGGGTGGGACGTTAAGATTGGTACACCGAGTACAGGACTTCAGCTTTCGGTACCTTCATAAAGTAGAAAGCGCTCCACACTTTTACTAGGTTTTTCTGAAGAGCAATCAATGTTCCTGATGCTCCAGCTGGAGCTGGTAGTTTGGTGTAGGTGATGCTCGCAGATTCGTCAAGCCACATTAAGTTAGCGCACCGCCACATTGAGCAGAGGTGTGGCTGAAGAAGAGGCAACTGGATTGGATGCAGTGCAACCGCGTCCTCATTCACAATCTGTCGCGTGAACATTCCAAATGACACCATCGTCCACCAAATCACGGCAGCTTATTTGGCGCAAGGCACCACAGACAAATGTCTCGCTCCTCCGCCTCCTTCGGCCATCCTGAGCGCCTGTGACCTTCTGAATATGGTCAAGTGACCCCCTCCCGAACCCCGGCGCGACGCAGCGACACTATTACCAGCCACCACCATGGCAACCATGAACGCGATAAGATAACGAGCTTGCTCGGTCAATACAAGCAGGTGGAGCTGAGGTGGGCAGCAGCCGGGCCCGTATCGGCTTGAGTCAATCGGCGAGTCGTGCTTTCCCCCCCGATTTGGGTGTCTGTTGCGTTGAAGCTTCCGGCGGCTCGCACATCCGATTCCAAAGCTCCAGCTGGCTTCATCCTCGTCCACGTCCACCACTCCTCGTTCCTCGGCTCGCGCTCTTCTTCCTCCACAGGCATACCGTCTCCAGCAAGCTCACCGCATATTGCATCTCGCGCAATCAACCGCTGACTTGTTCAATCGCTGGTGCACGTGTGCATTGCATCAAAACACCACCAAAACACCACAACGCCCTCCCTCGCGATAACACCAACACCAACCCTCCAACCATGACCAAACACACCCCCGACTCCCTCCGCACCCGCGTGTCCTCACTCTCTCTCCGCCTGCAGGCAATGGAAGCCGCCGAAGCCCTCTCCCGCTCGCAATCGCCCGCGCCCTCGATGGCTGCCTCGACAACCATCCCCGTCACGGCGTCCAAGCCCTTCCTCCTCGCCGACATGGAAGGCCGCCCCGCCGCCTCCAACCCCGTCTGCGAGTCCTGCTGGAACGCCCTCCGCTACAGCGAGGTGAAGCAGACCTCCCGCGCCGCCTCCCCGGCCGCATGCAAGCTCTGCGCCGTCGCCGCGGGCAAGCCCGAAGCCTACACCCAGCCCTTCGTCGACTTCCTCACCGAGAACCCCACAATCTTCCACGCCGTCTCCTACTTCAAGACCAAGCTCGCCGCCGCCGGCTTCACCGAGCTGCCCGCCCGCGACAGCTGGAAGCTCCAGCCCGGCGGCAAGTACTGGACCACCAAGAACGGCTCCGGCCTCATCGCCTTCACCGTCGGCGAGGCCTACAAGCCCGGCAACGGCGTCGCCATGATCGCCGGCCACATCGACGCTCTCACCGCCAAGCTCAAGCCCGTCTCGACCAAGCCCACCCGCGCCGGCTACCTCCAGCTCGGCGTCGCCCCCTACGCCGGCGCCCTCAACCAGACCTGGTGGGACCGCGACCTCTCCATCGGCGGCCGCGTCATCGTCCGCGACGAGTCCAACAAGACCACCACCAAGCTCGTCCGCCTCGACTGGCCCATCGCCCGCATCCCCACCCTCGCGCCGCACTTTGGCGTCGGCATGATGGGCCAGAACAACCCCGAGACCCAGGCTGTGCCCATCATCGGCCTCGAGAGCTCCTCCGACGCCGCTCCCATCGAGCCCCTCGGCCCCAAGGGCTCCTTCGTCAACACCCAGCCCCCGAAGCTCGTCAAGCTCATCTCCTCGGAGCTCGGCCTCGCCTCCCCGACCCAGATCGTCAACTGGGAGCTCGAGCTCTACGACTCCCAGCCCGCCCAGACCGGCGGCCTCGACCGCGAGTTCATCTTCGGCGGCCGCATCGACGACAAGCTCTGCTCCTGGGCCGCCTTCACCGGCCTCCTCGCCGCCGAATCCTCCCCCTCCGACGGCGTCATCAAGCTCGTCGCCCTCTTCGACGACGAGGAGATCGGCTCCCTCCTCCGCCAGGGCGCCCGCTCCAACTTCCTCCCCCTCACAATCGAGCGCGCCGTCGAGGCCCTCTCCGCCGCCGCCGACGTCCCCTTCGGCTCCAACACTCTCGGCCAGACCTACGCCTCCTCCTTCCTCGTCTCCGCCGACGTCACCCACGCCGGCAACCCCAACTTCCTCGGCTACTACCTCGACGACCACGTCCCCCGCCTCAACGTCGGCATCGCCATCTGCGGCGACAGCAACGGCCACATGACCACCGACGCCGTCTCCACCGCCATCCTCCAGCGCGTCGGCGAGCTCGCCGACGCGCCCACCCAGACCTTCCAGATCCGCAACGACACCCGCAGCGGCGGCACCGTCGGCCCCGCGCTCAGCAGCGCCATGGGCGTCAAGGCGGCCGACGCCGGCCTGCCGCAGCTGAGCATGCACTCCATCCGCGCGACGACCGGTGCGCTGGACCCTGGTCTGGGTGTCAAGTTCTTCAAGGGCTTTTTGGACCACTGGGAGAAGATTGACGGCGAGTGGCACTGAGAGGAGCCAGTTACTAGAGAGTAGAGGCGTATATAGAAGCAAGAGTTCCAGCGCGGCGTAAAGAGTAGACGAGGACAGAGTATGATTTATGAAACGGCTTGTAGAATATGTATCAGCACAAGACGCATCAGTATGGATGCAATTCAAAGCAATTGTCAAGAAAAGTGTCTCATTATCGTGACAGACATTAAAGCCTTATAATTACTATTAAGCCCGCCTGGTTCCCTGCCGTCCGTCGTCACCCAGCTCCCGTGCCTCTCTAACCTCCATCGAGTCCGCCTCAGACGCCGCATCAGACCTATCCCCATCATCGTCATCGTCGTCATCACTGCCGGACCCATCGTCGCTGGCCATGCCCCCAGCCTCCTCCAACTGCGGCTCGACCTCCTCAATGGGCTTCTTCCTCTTCTCAAAGTCCTGCCGATGCGCCTCGGCCAATATCGAGGTGAAAGTCCTCTGCGGTGGCGGCATCGCGACGCTCGACTTCCGCCGTCTGACTGTGCCCTCCTCCATGCGACGCGACGACGACGTGGTAGCCCCGCTGGCGCCTGCCATGCCCGGAGCGTCTGCGGTGCCCGTCGTCTCAAGCACGGCGCCGTCCTTGCCGGCATCGCTGATGGTCGGCGAGCGCGTGGGAGACTCCGTCGGGTAGGGAAGGGGCACGTCGCGAGAGGCCTTGCGCGCTGTGACGTTTGCGCAGTGCTCGTTCTCGACGCGGAAAAGGGTCCACATGCCGCGGCGGGAGACCTCTGCGAGGGCGACGAGGAAGGAGACGATGGTGGAGTGCTGGGTGTCGTGAGTGAAGATTGCATAGAAGATCCAGGCCCAGCGGAGGATGGGGTCGACGACGGCGATGAAGTAGTAGAGCCAAGTCTTCTTGAGGGCTCTGGTTTGACGGAGGACGGGCAATTTGCTGGGCTTCTCGTCAGGCTTGCCGGGGGGCTTCTTCTTGGGGTTGGGGTCCAATAAGGAAAAGTCCATGAAGATGTCCCAGATTGCTGTGGGTGACTGTTAGTTGCTGGACAGAGAGAACATGGAGAGAGGTACCTACATGTGTAGATGGCGTTGACTGTGGAAAAGGTAATGAACATAGCCAGGTTGCCTCTAGTGTTGTTGATGCGGTACATTGAGAGGGACATTGCGGCGAGGATGGACATTGTGTACTTTCCGCCGTTGATGAGGTGCGGGAAGATGTTGCGGGTGTCTCTGTATCGGCGCAGGCATTGGAGGAAGCGCCAGATCGGGGGAAGTGCACCTAGGAAGCCTAGAAGGCGGGAATGGTTCGAGTTACACTGGACTGGGTTGTCCCATGCATTGGCATAGACGCAGAAGAACAGCTCGACGTTCTATGAACAGTCAGATATGCCAGGGTAGGGAGACATTGAGGTACACTTACACACATGGCGTAGGTCAGAGAGCAGTATATGTCGCCGAGGAAGAAGTCTCGGAACTCGACAGGGTAAAGACCAGCGAGCAAGAGACGCCACTGTCAAGTGTCGTTAGATGGCGCAATACTATCACTACAACAAGCATATGCTGACTTACATGAGAATATGCGAACCATTTTCGACTCCTAGCTTTGAGAACAGGGAGGGGAAGGAAGATGATCAGGGCCGATACGAAGATGAGAGCAACCGGGTAGTACTCGTACACCTCGTCCGAACCGTAGGAGCTGAAGTTGAGCCATAGGAAGAGGCCGAAAATAAATGTAAACAGGCTGGGAAACTCGGCTAGTTGTCGCCAGTCAAGGTTGTTCCTTGTGTCGAATTCGAAGATGAATGGATAATTGATCTTGTTCCTGGTCCAGATTGCACAGTTGATGCAAAACATACAGAACAGCAGGAGCATGAAGAAGTAACCGCCGTAAATCTGCAACAGATAGCTCGTCTGTTCGCGGACATGGGCGTCATGGTCCCACAAGAGCTGGACACCCAAGATGGCGCCTTGGATGCCAAAGACAGCACCAGTACCGAGAAGAATACCGCACCTAAAGGCGCTGCCAGACTCGTCTCTAGGTTTGCGAGCCATGCTTCGCAGCTTACCCGCAGCGATTTTGTGGTTGCCGCGCTCAAAGTAGCGGGCGTATAGGTCCTCGACGGCCTTGATATGTCCATCTAGGGCGTCGCTGTTGACGAACCACGACTTGTTCACCTTCTCGGTCATATAACGGTACTGAGGGCGGGCATTGATGGCCTTGTCGTACTTCTTATTCAGCTTGCGGAACGCAGTCCGGTTGAGGATGGCGTAGGACTTTAGGAGTTCCAGGCCACGGTAGAATTCCTGGAGGGCAAGCTTCAACTTGCGCTTCGCGGACCGGTAGGGAACCTCATGCTCTGGTGGTCGACGGATGTAGTCCATCCTCGCGTCTTGGCCCTCCCTAGGACGCATGACTGGGGTGCGAGCCATTTTCGACAAGTTCCTGGAGTTGGGTCCTGGTCTGAAGATCTTAGACCTAACCGGATCAATCCAGCCGAGTGGACCGTTCTTCGCACCGTCGCCATGTCCGTGGTGGCCGTGCATGAACTCCATCTCGGCCTGTTGCTTTTGAGCGTTGAGCTCCTGGGTTCGTCGGTTTCTCATTTCGTGAAGCTGCTCCTTAAGCACCTTGAGGCGCTGTCCAGCCTCGTCCTCCTTCTCCTTGTAGAACCTCTCCACCGTGTTCAGCTGATCGTCTAGGAAGTTTTCGAATTCTGCCTTTTCAATCCCCCCGGGCTCCATTGCCAGTGCCTGCATACCGTATTCGGGGTTCGTTCCAACCCGATTGAGGGGTGAAGAACCCGTAAACCACCTTCGCAAGCCGCGCCTTGGAGAGCCACTTACGGACCCGATAGTAGCGGAGTGAGGGAGTCTCATTGACGAAGGAGAGTGCGTCTGTTCAGGCGCAGAGGGCTGATTGCTTCGTGGATCCGTCATCATGGATGCGCTGCGCTGTAGAGCTTGCCTGGCCATTGGGCTTTCCTGCGCATGAGCCCCTTCAGCACCCTGGTCCGTCGTTCGGGAAGGCACCCTCATCGCAGGGTCAGGAAGCTCGAAGGTCGGCCGCCGATCGAGGGGAGCTCCCTCGTGCTGGGGCGGCGTATGCACGAAGCTACCATATTGCATATCATTCGAGCCACTCGTCAGGGTCTGGTGTTCGTGGTTCGCAGGGATCGCTCGCGCGGGCGTCATGGGCTTCTGTCGGGCAGAGCCGACCGGAGCAGAGCCCTCCCGCAGCGATGTTCTCTCGTCGGGATTCGTCTCCCTCGCATTGTCGCTATTGAAGAAGTTGGATGTTCCGCGGTTGTTGAGCTTGCCCGAGTTCCCTTGCGGACTGCCATTGGCACGATTGATGGCGCGAGACACTTTCTTAATGAGCTTCTTGCCGGCCTTGTAATCGAGATATTTGACGCGCCATTCTGTTCAAGGAACACTGCATTAGCAAATCGCAAGACAATCACCAGAGACAGGCGCATGGGGGAGGCTTTCGAACCTGGCACGAGGTCCTGCTCGAGCTCCTTTGCGAACTTCATGACGTAGTGGCGCCCTTATGCGCGGCACAGCGAAGCACTGCTGGGATAGTAAACGCCATGAAACGGAGGGGTTGGCTGTCAAGGTTGCAGTCGTGTGGACGAAAGGTATGACGGGACGAGTCAATTGCGACGACTGTTGACTGATCAGACCAGACAGGAGTCGATCCGGGGCTTGGCTCTTCGTCCTCGTCGTCGGTCTCGCGTGGGAGATTGTTGTTTTTTGCTAGAGGTAGCGCATGGACGAGCCGTTCGCCTCCCTTCGCCAAGCTTCTGCCACGGACCAGGCGCCCCGCCTTTTCTTTCGTCTGGTTTTTTTCATTTGCTCCCGATGCTTTATCGCGTACCTTATCAGTTCAGTGTTTCCTTTAATCTGATGCCCTGAACCTGGCTGTTTCCTCCCCCAACGGAAGTCTGTCGGCAACCGGCATCGCCAATGGCAGCGCCTGTCTTTAGCACTCCCTCTGCCCTATGGCTAGCGGCAATCGCTGAAAACTCGCGATATCCTGGTCAAGCCCACTGCTTCAGCGCTTCGTTAGCGGTCTAGTCCCGGTGGCCCCTCGAGCTTGCCGAAAAGCGGGAAAGCCAGGGGAGGTCAGAGCGCTTGCGCAGATGGGATTATGTCAGCCTGGGCTTGCATGTGTTGCTCCTTCCATCATCGACAACTTTCTTTTTGGGCGACATTGTGAATTTCGCGATGTTTCTTTTTGCAAATTCCCTGTCTGCCGCGCCTAAGTCTCTCCAGATTGAGTTTCACCACCTGTAAAACCACCATCGTTCTATTTACCTTCTTTCGCCGCCCAACAGAGTTCCTGCTTAGTGCGAATTACCTCACGGCTGCGTCCGCGAGCCATCACACGCACGAGGCACCGAGCGCCACCCGGCACGCCCAACCGATAAACTCAAGACAGAGTTCACAGGGTCCAACTCTGTTTCCCAGTTCTCTCCCTTCAGATGCCATTTCCTGCTGTCAGTTGTCGGTATAGACTATAAGGTCACATCTTGGTCGAATCTTGTCAGGGATGGGCGAGCTCGTCTTATGTGACTGTGCCGCTTGTCGAGCACCCACTTCACATAACCAACGACAACCGCCACCAACAGAACGACAAGGATCTCTCTCCCTCGACCATCCATGGACCGGGTCGCAAACTCTGGCCGCGAGATCTGGATCCTGAATGGCCTCATGCACACATGCATATCCATAACCGTATTCACACTGACACCTACTACTGCACAGTACGCGCTGCGGATACTGCATCGACGTCCAGCTGCCGCTGTGGGAATGGCTTCGAAGGAACGACAGGGTGCCGTTGGTGCGAGAGGCAAATCGACCCCGTCTCCCCAACGCAGCATCCTTGCCTCTTTCACGGGTATCGAATCCACATTTGCTCACGAGAGAGGCGAGCCCCAACACCTGCCCGCCCGGGACGATGCGGCCGAAAAAACCGAGGCTTGCATGGCTCTGCACAAGTTCCAACAATACTCGATCAAGATTCTGCCTCCCTCGGGCATTTCACAAAGACAAAAACAGGTACACGGGATTCGCCCGTCACATCTCTGCTTCTCAGCCTTTGCTGTCCGGCAACTGAACCACTCTTGCATCGCATTCCAACTGAAACCTCCGCTTGTCGACGCAGCCGGGCGGAGAATGCTTCTCACAGATTGATTCGTTCAAATGGGGAAATGCACCTCACCCCAGCCGGCAGCCCCGTCGGACGGCCGGCGCAGCGACCGCCGTTCCCCGGGAACTAGGCATTTAGCGCGCCTAGTTCGCGGCCAGGCCTTATCGACAACGGTCCCGCAGCCCGCGATGCGTGGAGAGAGGGAGAGAAGGGGGTCCAGATGAGGAGAAAAGAACGCCGTCGTTCCCCGTAGATCAGCCAATCACCTCTCGCCGCTTTTCTGCCTGCGGAGCTCTGGCTAGGTTGACGATGATAGCCAGGTAGCGCCTTGAGCGGCCCATCTCACGCCAACACCGCTGTGCCGCGGACACGCAGCAAAGTGGCCGTGACAGTTTGACATTTGCGTGTTGGTGCCCTCGCGGCGGCCGTTGGGATCATCTCGCTGCCTGCTATGCTGCAGTCTGACAGGTTCCACGTCCCACTCGACGACTGGAATGCCTAGATGGGAAAACGCTCAGGTCTTGGGGGTTGTGGTTGATTTGCTCGCTACGGGATGCATGGTTGCTGGCCATGTCGCGGGAACTGCGAAGCCCGGACTGAGACATATCCGTGTTGAGCGGCTCATACATTCCTCACTAAAGTGCAACATCCAGCTAACTGACATTCATCATACTCGGGTCCGCAGCGTCATTTCAGTCAATTTGGGCCAACGCAACCGGACAGATCATCGCCCACCTCAAAATCTAAGCGGGAAGTGACGGCTCAGTTCTCAGCGCCTCGCAGCTTGATCGGCTCATCGTCTGTTGGAGCTGTTGGTGCTGCGTCGTATCCCCTGGCACATGTCGGTGGAGCAGAAGGAAGGTCCAGGGTCTTCACTTTTTTGTGGGTGGCTTACAGGAGCCGTCGTCCGCCTCCGATGATGCACTTTGGCACAGTGACACACCCAAAAGCCACGAGTTCACGAGGAACCACCACAGATGATCTCTGTCTCACCACGGGAAACGATCCCGCAGAGTGTTCCACGGCCGGCCGCCGCTCCCTTTCGCGCCCGTCCGCCCTGTGGACTCGACAAGGGGGTACAAGTACTGTGACGCCCATCCCGTTCCGCTGCGACGTTCACAGTGCCCGTTTTCTTTGCTTTTTCCTGCTTCCGGAAAGCAAATATGAACATGTCACATTCACGTCGACAACCACCCTCCCCAACATGGAACAATAAAAAAAATATGACCCCATGCGCCGCCCATCCTTCTGGGCCAAAACCAGGCCACAAAATGCGTGTTTGCTTGCCCCCGTTACACAGGGTGGAGATGTGATGCTCGCTCTCATCCTGGGCAGGCGAGAGACACCAACACCAACACTACTTTTTGGGGGTCTCGATCCTTGCCGCGCCTTTCGCCCCCTCCCCACGTATGTATACAAAGTGGGCGCTGTGCTTGTATTGAATGATCTCGCAACTCGGTTGGCTCACCTGCGAAACTGGTTGGTTGAACAAAAAGTCCTTTTACCAGATTCTCGGGACGGTGGAACGATATACAGCCTCGATTGGTTGCTTGGAGCCTTTCCCTCGAGGACAAAGCAGGTATCCGAGACACTGTGAAGCAAGCATTCATATATATCGGTTCTCGCAACCTCTGCACCCCCTGCCTCTGAGACCACCCCTGCTGGCCTGCGCTTCTTCCCTTCTTCTTTCTTTCTCCCAGTGCCTGCCGGTTTCTGTTCCCTCTTCTCTGACTAAAGAACCATCCCGCTGGATTCTTCTGTTGACGGAAACTTACGTCCTGTTTGATCCTTCCCGCCAACTTCACACCGTGTGCTCACCATTGTCGGCCTTCTCATCAGTTTTCGGGTTAGAAGTCCGGCCCTGATATGGAAACTCATCCCGGCCCGGCCATGGGCCATCGAAGCCTCCTCCGCCGGACATCAAAATCATGTCTAGGCGGTTTCAAGAAAGTATTTTCCACGAGGAGTGATCGCCACGACGACTTCTTGGCCATCAGCAAAACATCAACAAAATCATTCAAGTTTTCATTCAAGACTACGTCGCTTTGGAAGAGGACTACACCAGAAGAGGACGAGAAGACATGTAAACCGAAGCCCAACAACACCGACACCACCCCCGAAGAAACCCCGAGGATCAAAGACCCAGAACTGAGGCGGCAGGCCTACCCCCAGGGCCAATCGCATCTTTTCCGACGGCTACCGCCCGAGATCCGCGAGCAGATATACAAAGAGTTTTGGGTCGCGTGCGGAGTGGAACGACACGCGTTTCTTGAGGATGGGCATATGCGGTACTCGCCGTGTGTGACGGATCACGAGGCGCCGGATGAGAGGCAACTGGGCCTCGCGAGAGACTTTAGAAAGGCCCCGCAGGTACAATGGCACCCGGAGTGGTTCTTGAGGATGCAGTCGCCGTGGTGTAATCACTGGAGATGTGAAGAGTTGTGGGAGGATATTGAGGAAGGGAGGAAGGTTGACCTAAACGCGGGGCAGAACCAAGCTTTCATGTCGCTTTTGGTATCTTGCAAGAGGGTGTACGTCGCAGCCTTCACCCCTAATCACTCTGAACAACCACTGATTATCTACCCCCAGATACGACGAAAGCATAGACTCCTTCCGCGAATCCCGCATCCTAAACATCACAAACGGCCACACCCTCCAGCGCCTCCTCAAATACCCGCGGCCGCGCTACGTCTCCGCCGCCCGCACGATCAACATCTCCCTGCGTGAGGACAGCGGCAACTGGCTGTACCTCAACGGCGGCAGCATCTGGCACACGCTCGCGGCCAAAGAAACCAAGGCCACCAAGGTCTATGTGTGGCTCGACGCCGAGTGCCCGCTCACGCGCCGGCTGCTGACCGAGTTCCGCGAGCTGTACACGGGCATACCCGCGGAGATCGCGCCGAAGCTGACGATCGACTTCCCGTGCGACGCGGAGGACGGGTTCTGGGCGTGGGGCGAGGTGGATGTGCAGGAGCAGAATGCGTGCGCGGGCGGCGGCGGGTGGGGGCGGGTGGACCGGAGGGAGGCGATTGTGCCGAAGTTTAGGGTCGTTGCGAGGGGGCGGCAGAGGTTTAATGAGACGAGTTGTGGGTATGTTAGTCGGGGGGATCTGGGGAGGCCGAGGGTGAGGGTGTTGAAGGCCGGGAATCCTTTTGAGGATATTTTGTTGTATGGGAGGGGGATTCATGATGATTCGTATTATTGAGAGGTCATCCACGAGTAAGAGGCATTTTCGCCTTGAAATGTTAAGTCTATCATATCTATTGGCCTCGCCATGACTATGGCGGAGACTGGGAACAAAAATGCAAGCCCCGAATCAAAGACGAGTCTGCCTTTGCAGACTTTGCTTTAACTGCCCAAGAAAAGAAATTGACAGAGTACCCAAATGAAGATATTTACAACGGTAGGACAGCAAGAAACCTTCACCATTCGCCAACCTGCACACGCATAATATCGAAAGCGAAACCCCGCTGCCGTTTGACCGATTCCTCCAAAATTGAGTGTCCACCGGATCACTCACTGATATCTTTCTGGTTTTGGCGGCCAAGTCTTCAAATTTCTTAAATGGCGAATGTGTCTTTGGGTAAGCTGGAGAGCAATAGTTAATGACGGCATCTACTAATGGATGGGGAGCATTACGCCTGGAACATAACCTGGAGTAAAGATGATGAAGTTGGCCCCTTGCATTTCCTCAAAACATATTAGCCCCGAAGGTTGAATTGCAAAATAACGATCGTACTTACTACCTCAATAGTCGGGCCAAATTTCTCTGTAAGCCAAGCCTTCAAAACGTCTTGCCGAATACGATACGCGGATATGACGTGAGTTTTTTCGCTAACGTCTTCGGAAATGCGATCTGCGTTTACGCTTTTATTGCCCGAAACCTTTCCCAGAAAGGAGGACCCCAGAATCACATCCGCATCTTGAAGTTGCCCTTTAACTAGGACAAAGAAGTCTGCCTCGTGTTCCCAATCCTCTCCTCCAAAGTCGGAAACTGCTGCCGAGACAAAGTCTTGAAAAGATTTGTTTCCAATGCCAGGAAGTACGGCGTTGAATCCTCGTTTAGGAGCGCGACGCACTCGAAGCCCAAGAGCTTTCTGAACTCTCGCAGTGACGATGTTGTGGGCAATGGATTCCAGCCAGATGGCATTGAAAGTCTGCTTTACCCCATTTGGTCCAGAAATTTTGATTTCTGTTGTTATATGTCGGTCGCTGACGGGTGTTGCATCAGGTGAAGTAATGATACTGCCCTGGCCGTCGCTGGCAACACTTTCAGTGTCATCACCTGCATCTTGGCCTCCAGTTTCCAGTCCATCTTTTTCGGCTTTTCTCTCGCCGTGGCTGTCTTCTTCGTCTTCGTTTTCGTCTTCGTCTTCTTCTTCTTCTTCTTGGATTTCTAGTCCTTCAATGACAGCTGGTATTGCAAGCACAGCTAACTCCTGAAGGTGTTTTCCTATGTGTCGACAAAGAGCCATGGCTTGGCCAGACTCCGTTCGCGGAACATACCACAATGGCCGGCAAAAGGGGCAAGGCTGGTTCGAGAAATCCTGTGTAGGTCGACTCGCCGACTTGAGAATCATTGGTATTTGCGACTCCGGGACAACGTGTTTGTGAGACTCAATGAAGTGTTTCCTCAGTAGGTCCGCTGTATCGAAACTCGATTCGCATTTGTGGCAGTGCCATATCATTCGATGGAACTCAAGTTCATGACCAAACCACTCATGTCTCTTGGAAAACAGGGTTACCGGACAGGTTTGAAAAGTGCACAGGTAGGGGCGTAGGTCAGACAGTATGTGGTTCCTGTTTCATTTTAACCACTATATCTGATTCGAGAGATATTACACATAATTACGGAGCTGACTTACTTCCATTCCTCTCTAGAGGTCACAAGTATGAACTCTCTGCAGAGTGGGCAATCAAACGATTCTCCATATCGCAGTTGGACTTTGTGGAAGGTCAGTCGCTCCAGGTCCATAATCCCCAGTTCGCCGTCTTCGCCCGTTTGAATCGCCGTGACGAAAGACGTCTTTGTTACAAAGCTTGCTGTTGATGAGACGCTTCCATCTTCTGAGCCCTCATGGCGTTTTCCATCCTCTTGGTATGTCGTAGCTGCTACGGAAGGTCCATGCTGTGAAGATCCTGTTTCCGCTTCAACTCCAAACGAGGGGACAGGATGCTTGGTTTGAAGATCTAATATAGAGGATCTGCGATGATCGAAGGCATCTGCAAGTCGGTTCTGGAGCCACTCCTTGTCTAGCAGCCCTGGATGTTTGTCTTTGAGACGAAGAATGTGATTATCGCGTCCCGGATCGATTCCAGGATTCATGTTGCCCTTGTTATTCCCGTGAGGTCGGTTCGTGGACTCCCGGCGAATCAGCATGGCAAGAGTGAACAGCCGATCAACTGACAACGCGATGCTACTGAGCAATGCGTCGAGCTCGGTTGTTATGGAGTTCAAAAACTCAGATAGCTCTTGGTTTCCGGGATCCTCCAAGTCAATTCCCTCAAACAAAGCTTCCATGTCCGACTTTTGCCCGTTTCGGCGATCATCTCGTAGGATGGAATCGGCTGGCTTGCCGTGATTAGTTCTGGGCCATAGCACGATATATTTCTTCGGGAGTGTCCGACGGCTTACCTTCTTCAGATGCCTGAATTATATCTATCAGCGTTGTTTTGACGGCTTCTGTCATCTGCTCTGCCTTCCTGAGACGCCAATCCAAAGATGCCACGGAGTCCTTCCTTCGAAACGCAGCCAAATTGCTGCCCCATACGTTGAACCGTCCGTTCACGTTGTAAAGTGTGGAAGTAGTAAGATCCTCATTCTGTTCCTTAACCAATGTGTAGAGCTCCTGTAAGGTCTTTCTGCATCGATTTGCGAGGTTTGAGATCGATAAGGTGGCACTATCTAGCGGTTTCCTTTTTTGATACATGATGGTTGCTGGAAGTGTTTGCAGGTGAGGCAAGCTCAGGCCGGGGGGGGGGGGGGGGTATCTGGACTCCGATGCTTCTCTTAATATCTGAGATTCTGAGCGCTCATATGACTGATAACCGACACCAGGACGATACGGGGCAAGTTTGGAAGAGACTAGCTGGAAAGGGGACGGCTGACATGCATGCATTCGGGGATCACATCGGCCACCAATCGACGTCGAATCAGGTGAGACTTGCAGCATTCTCGCCTGCGGAAAGGGAATGGAAGTCCAATGACCGTAAACTACGTGTCGATAAGAAAGCGGGGTAGTAGTCCGCATGGGAGGAAATCGGGCTTATGCAGATCATATTTCCTCATTCATCTACCTAGGTATCCCACTCGTAATGGATTCCGAACAGGAGAGTGCCCTTCACCGGGCGCCAAAACCTCAGTCTATTTGAGTGGCACATAGATCTGTTTAAATAATATCTTTGGTGGCTTAGCAGCAAGAGTAACCGTTCCTCGGACACCAAAGCTTTCCCAGAACCAACAGCGTCAAGCACAGGGCGCTAGCTACCCCGATAGAGTCGTCCACAGTTCCGTTCGACACGCAGGCTCTTCGCCCCATCGTTCACTGAACAGATCAAAACTGGATCTGCAAGAAAAACAACAGGATTGATATGGCAGGCCTGGAGATTGTCGGTGTTGTTCTCGGGGCCATACCACTTCTCATAGAAGCGGGAAAACAGGCTGAACGGGTGGAGTTCTACTGGATGTTCCGTGACAAGTTTCCACCGCTGCTGAGGTCCATTCACGACCAGATGATGGCTTACAGACAGAACATCAAATTTCTCTTGGGCCCGCTCGACCTCGACCTCAACTTAATAGCTAGTCTGGTCGACTATCCTGAAAGGTCTGAGATGTGGCGCAACCCCGAGTTCCAGCAGGTGCTTTACAGGAGATTTGGAAACGACAAGTATGAACTCGACTGGTTGATTCAACGAACCGAACGAATCAATGAAATTATCCAAGATCTTGCAGAACTTCTGCGCTTACTTGATTCAAAGGTAAGTTTCTTTGGCTGAGCCTGGCCCTATTATTGGAGCAAATCATGCTTACTGGATAATGTAGGGGTCGAAGGCAAAATTACAGACTCCCGGCTATCAATCCTCGCCGATGCCCACATTGAACCAACAGCAAATTAGACTAGCTGTAAGCTTTACCAGCAAGCGTAAGCTAGTTTTCGAATTTGAAGAAATCAATGACAAGATCCGGGACTTCTTAAGCAATGACATGAAAATTGCACAGATGAAGGGGACAGTCCTTGGCAACACCTTCAAAACTCACAGGCAAGGCGACGTCTACAGAAAGAAGGCACAACCCTTCCGCAAACTCCAAGATCAAGTGGATTCACTGTACCGGATTTTCCAACCGAATAGATGGGAATGTAACTGTGGTCTTCAACATCCTTGTGGAATTGCCGTTAACTGGGTTTACGATGTACATGGGATATCAAAAGGGTGTATTCAGCTTTCTCTTGGGGGTTCCAACTCCCCAGAAAGACTGGATGTGGACTTCTATCCTTTCGACCCTGAATCAGACCGGTCTGACCTTCCGAAACAACCGCTTATTGACCAATTGTCGTCTAAGCTCGAACGTACCGGACTGACTCGAGGCTCTAAGGCTCGAACAGCACCGAAGACCATGCCAGTCATCTCTGCACTTGCAGACTCTGCCTTAGGTTTGGTAAGAACAGGGTCCGATCAATATGGAACCCCCGAGAAGGTGGATCGCACATCCAAACATAAAACTGAAAGCGACCCCGACACCGAATACGGAAATGCCGAGGGACTGGTGATATCACAGTATGCCTGATTCAAAGGCTAGAACCTATCGACACTGGGCTGACATCGATTTTCAGAGCTCCTGAGCCCTCGGCTAAGAGGCTCCAGCGGTCTAAAAGACGACAAAAAGTCAGATTCGACGAAGGACCTGTCTCTTCCCCGACCGCAGTGAATGTGGTCGCTAGCCAAGTCTCTTGCGACTTTTTGCATGACCCTCTGTCGAGTGACTCTGTCCGGTATCTTCAAGACACAAGAGAAAAGGGTTTTATTGCAATGAGGAAAATGGACCACCCCACGTCGAAGAGCTCTCCAAACCAAAATCCTATGTGGCTAAGGGAGTTTTGGAACTCTGTTCCCAAATTGGATCAGCGAATCCGCCTAGCAACGAAACTTGCCTACACAATCATTGGTTTTGGAACTTCAGCATGGTTTCCTCAAGGATGGGATGACGGTGATATCACCGTCTGTTTGAAGCCTCGACCAATACCGTTTTACTACCATCTCTCAATGCGTCAGGCACTTCAGAGAGACATTACAAACGCTCAACATCATGCTGAGATGGCTGTGTTTACCTTGGGTGTTATCATTCTTCAAGTCATATATCAGGAACGGCTCGAGGAGCAATCATTCTACAGGAAGTATTGGGTTGATGGTAAACCCAGCGACTTCACACTTGAGCTCGCTGCGCGAGAATGGCAGCAGTCGGTGGAGAAGGCGTATGGGCCAAGCATTGCAGATGTAATTTTTCGGTGCGTACACCTCAAATTTTCCATTGCCCCTGATCTGGAAAAAGAGGAGTTCATTCAAGAGATGTTACTGACGGTGATTGAGCCTTTGGAGGACTTTGTGTTGCAGTTTGAGAATTCATGAAGCTAGTTGCAGCCTTACTCGGATCTCTAATAGAAATATACTAATGCCTGATCTTGCATTGCTAAGACCTTGAGGACAAAGAAACTTGGAGATTATATGCCCGGATTTGATTGCCTTCCCGACACAAACGTCCTGTGCTAATGTTAAATATCTTCGCGGTAAACAATCTTTTGGTTATTGGTGTTGCGGATGGAAAAAGGCATGGCAAGAAAAGATGAAGTAGCCTTACATGTCCTGGTTTGTCTTTGGTGACGGATGACACTACCGCCACGGAGAATTCTCTTATCGATGACTTCCATCCGTGATGTGTTAATTATTCCTTCTGGCGAATCGTCATTCATAATGTCTTTATAGTGACTAACACCGATTAAAAGTTGGGCTAAGTACATGAAAGTCCACGACGGGATTGCCCCATCATCACTTGTTAAAGCTCTCCATTCCCATGATGCAACTTAAGAGCACAATCGCGGATGAAATTAGGAGAGATTCACCGCTTTTGGAACTTCGGTACGCTGCGGGTCACTCGGATCCAATAACGTGCCGCTGTTTGTTGTCACGCAGGCCAAAAGGAGTCGAGGGCAGTCGTATCTGGCGCGTTTTCAATCTGCGGGGCTCGACACTCCGCCAAAAGCCAGGTTCTTTTGTGACCCTTTCCGAACACTGGCCCCTCATCATGCGCAGTATACGTGTTTCCGCGCAAATTTGCAAGCGTAATGTGCCAACCTTTTCTGTCTGAAAATATTTCACGCACCATTATCTGGCTGAAATCGGCCGGCTCATTCTTTTGTTGTTGCATAACACCCGCGAGACGACTCGGCTGGACAGCTTGTTCGGGCTCAAGACAATCATGGGCTCTCAAGAATTGAGTTTCAGCAAGACTCCAGTAGGAGACGGCCAGTTTCGCTTGCTGGATATCCTGCCTGCTTCTCAAGATTCCTGCTCAAATCCTCCTCTTCGATGTCAACTTCGCGTCGCATCATTGTTCGATCCGCCGGACTACGAAGCCATCTCGTACGTCTGGGGAAGTCAGGATTCCGCGAATGAGATCCAGATTGAGGTCTCAGGGAAGATTTTCAACACGACAACAAATCTTCATGCAGCTCTGTGTCGGCTCCGACTGGAGCATAAAACAAGGACTGTGTGGGCCGACCAAATCTGCATCAACCAGAAAGACAGCGCGGAAAAGTCGACCATCGTTCCACTCATGCGGCAAATCTATTCTCGATGCCGTCAAGGTCTGCTTTGGGCGGGCGAAATTCCTCAGGAAATGGATCCGGCTCATGTGGAATCGCTGTTCGAATTTCTCACGTACATGGCGGAGGGTGGCAGTACTCATACCCCCACCCCTCTGTGCATGGCTTCCGAAGCGGCATTCAAGGGGCCGATATCGGCATTGGTGCACTTGATGGCCGGCGAGGGTTCCTGGTTTTCTCGTATATGGACAGTCCAAGAGGCAGTTCTCCCGAAAGAAGCCGTCTTACTCTGGGGACCACAGTCAATTTCTTGGAGCACGTTGATTCAAGCAACTAAGACTTACACAACTGAGATACCGCACGACGTGTTCAGAGTCTGCGAATACGGATTTGCCGAGGGCCCCATAGCCGGCCTTATTGCGGTTCTGGTATGGTTGAATGGCTGTAAATACGACTGCAAGCCGTCGTCAACTATGCAGCAATGGCGGGGCCGGCAAGCCCACGACCCTCGAGATAAGGTCTATGCTCTGCTCGGACTATTTCCATCCGGAACGCTGCCCAGAGTCGAAAGCTGCGATTATGAGATCCCAGTAGCCGAGGTTTACGAGAACCTAACGCTTGACCTCATTACTGACGAGCAGAGCCTTCGGCCACTTGTTGGAAACCCCCGTCTTAAGCCAGTCAGGGCGACTCCTAATCTGGCCAGATGGGCGATTGACTTGGTGGGAGTACCTATATACGAGATAGAATACTGGCATCACACATACGATTCAATGCATTTTCGTGCGGATGGTGGTCGTCGCATGGAATTCCAGCACCAAAGAGGCATGTTAGGTCTCACGGGCGTTTTCGTCGACACAATTGAGAGAGTCGAACCTGGATTGATGCTCATTGGGAAACACGCATCATACGAGTTGCTGGCTGAAACCTTGCAAAGATGGAAGAGTACGGGACCCGACGAAGAAGCCTTTGGGAGGCTCATCACAAACGATCTTGTTAGAGATGCTGTCGGGGACCCTGTCCAGCGCGCATCCGCAGCAGACGCCCACCAGGCTATAGAATATTTACGCAACAGAACAGGGGAGGAATGGATTCACGAACAAATCTTGATGACGGTCAAGAACTCAGTGTACTTTACAACAAAGTCTGGGCTTATCGGACGGGGACATCTCGAAACACAAGCTGACGACGAAGTCTGGGTATTCAACGGAGGCAGCGTACCATTCACAGTGAGACCGCGAGGCGGACCCAAGCCGGTTGACAATGATCTCGAGTACGACTTTGTGGGTTATAGCTACGTGCACAGCATGATGGACGGCGAGGCTTATGAACGCGGTATCGAAAGTCGGTTCATTTGGATTCATTGATAGAGGAACTACAGAAAGCCAATGTTACTTAGGAAACTCCATGTAGCATTTAACATAGTTGTTTGGCTTGCTGGTCGGAATTGGGTCAGGTATTTGCAGGTTCCGGGAGCCAATTGGAGCATTGCTTTTGTGTACTTAGCACGACACTGGAGTAAGCTCAAGGACCCATCAAAAAGAGCGGAAGTCTTTTCCGGAACCTTCAAACCGGTCGAATAGTTGACGTTTTTAAACATATCTTGTCATTCGGTCTGTAACCCATTCATTAGCCGTTCTGAAGAGTTCTTTTCCCGGCTTCGGACACGTCGAAATTATGAAATACGACCCGGACTCGGATAGCTTGCCCGCAAGATCTCAGCTCCCGCACGTTCCAGGGACGCCTCAGGATTCGGCATGGTTCTGGGGCGAAAATGATGAGGTCAATACTTCCGCCATCTACAAATGTTGATGGGCGCCTAGCTAAGGTTGACACTGCAAAGTTGGGCCGATTAAATCTTCTTACCCCAAGGCGCAAGGCGGCAGCAGCAAGTCTGATCAAGGATGGTATTACAATTGGCTTGAAGTAAGCTCTGATAATTGAAACAAGGTCAATTACCTAATCGCACATAGTTGGCCTGCCGAATTGCCGTTCCCACCCATGTTTGGCCGAGAGCCATTGCTGCATCAAATCAAGCCTCTCGGACCGGCAGGCAACGATGAAATTCTGAAAATGAACTCACAAAGCGGCTCTCAGGTAAGCCCCGTGCCCTCTTAAAGATTGGAAACCATTTGCTAACACTCAAAAGTGGGATGGATTTCGACACGTTAGATAATGGTCCATCCAAAGCTAAAGCAAAGACTGCATCAACTGACAGTAATGACCGGACAGGTCAGTGTACCCCATGAAGGAGGTTGGGTGTTTTACAACAACGTGAGTGATCTTTCTAGAAACTGATACACGTAGCTTTGCTGAAATTCCGTCTCCAAGGCGACACCTGAGCAGATCGAGAAGACCACTAAATGCGGAGTACAGGCCTGGGCCGCCCAGGGTATTGGTATATTTCCAGCCTAAGACCCTCTCAATTGAAAGATCACTAAGACCTATGCAGTCGGAAGAGGTGTCCTTCTTGATTACTGGAGCTATGCTAAGGAGTCGTACGATGTGAACTCTCGCCATCCGATTTCTGCCAAAGAACTCAAAGCTTGCGCTGTGGCCCAAGGAACCCAGTTTGAGTACGGTGACATCCTGATCATTCGTACTGGTTGGATCGACACATACAACAAGATGACCCAAGACGAAAGAGTCAAGTTGACCGAGGTTCCGGCCTATAGTCATACCTTTGTGGGTGTCGATCAACACCCTGATGTTGCCGACTTCCTTCACGACAACTACTTCAGTGTTGTGGCATCGGACTCCCCTGCATTTGAGGTTTGGCCACAAAACAAAGAGTGGAATCATCACGTCAATCTCTTGCCAAAATGGGGTGTACCCATTGGGGAACTTTGGGACTTGGAGAGGTTGGCCGAAGTTTGCCAGCAACGCAAACAGTACGCCTTCTTCTTTGCGAGCACGCCGAATAACATCAAAGGTAAGCACCTGCTGAGAATGTCAGATTGAAGCAATAGATAACACCTTAAAGGTTCGGTCGGTAGTCCATCAAATGCGCTTGCTATGTTCTGAATGTTTCCCGGTAGGGCCCGGGGTGATTTCCATAGCACCGGTGCGATGAGATTGAGATTAGAAAGAGGCGTCTACCACCGCGTAGAACAGACAGTGACACGATCACGTCATCTCAAAGATTACATAGCCGCCAATAGGTCAGTATTGAGCAGTAATTAGTAGACATTGAGTCATTTGTCCCCTGTTTCGTGCGTCGCCTCATTATCCGGATTTCAATGTGCCGCCCGGAAGACTCAGCCGATCGCTGTTGTACAGCCTCAAAAAATGCTGTATCCGAGAAACAGTGCCTGGCGATTCGGCTATCGTCGGAAAAAAGCTCCTCGGTGCAATAGTGACATCAATCTGGTTGTGTTGCCCATCAACAACGAACACCATGCATGTATCAGCCCGTGTTGACGCGGAGGCCCGTCGCGGGCCGTAAAGACCCTTGTAACAAGATCGAGAGTCAAATACATAAGAGAGGTGTTGCTTCATTTTTCAGATGATGGGACGAGATTCATGTAGTTCGAACTACCTTGAAACTATGAACATGTCTCGCCATTCGCTCCCCACCTACGAAAATATCCCTGCCGTCGATGGCATGCCTCACGGCTGCGCCTGGGGCCTGTGGGACAAGGATGACAAAGCTGATCAAGTTGGGACTCTTAACCTTCTAACCCCATCCAACACATTCGAGGCCAGGAAAGAGATTCAGACCGGTGTTTCAGTTTCACTGAAGTGAGTAAGATGGTCCTCATTCTGTTTAAAGCCAGCAGTAGCTAACTTAAGGATTTGCAAGCTGGCCCTTGGAACGGATTGAGGACCCAGGTCACAATCGGACCAAGATCAAGCACCGTTTCTTGGATCTGAAGCCTGCCCTGGTGGGACACGATGACGAAATTTGCATCAATACACAGACAAGCAGCCAGTGGGACGGACTCCGTAAGTAAGGACATAAGTACATTGATCTCATACCCATTAAACGTCGGTAGGACATTGGGCCCATCAGGACTCCGGGAAGTACTACAATGGCTTGACTCATGATGAGATCAGCGGGGAAAGACCCAATCTACGCAACGGCATTCAAGGTATGAAAGTCTTCGCCACACAATGATCACACGTTTCATGAAGCTCATTTTGACATGCAGAATGGTCGAAACGAGGCGGTGTTGTCGGCAGGGGTGTGCTTCTTGACTACGTTGCATGGGCTGAGAAAAGAGGTATCGAGTACAGTGCGGCCAGCAAGCACTGTATTAGTCACCTGGACTTGGAAGCGATTGCGGATGAAGAGGGCGTGAAGCTCAGAGTCGGCGACATTCTCATGGTCCGAACTGGGTGGATCAAGTGGTACAACGAATCTACCTCAGATGAAAGAGTGGCGGGATGTAAGACAAACCACAACTATGTAGGAGTTGAGGGTACCGCGGATAGCATCAAGTGGTTATGGGATCATCACTTCTCTGCTTTGGTTGGCGACAACATGGCTTTCGAGGCTTGGCCAGCGGAAGGCCCTTACAGTGAGCATAACCTTTACCCTCCGATGCTGCACCTCTTCTCTGACGAACAGTTAGGAATCCATGACAATGCTCTGGCTTTATGGGGAACACCGCTGGGAGAACTGTGGGATCTCGAAGGGCTAGCTGATCAGTGCAAGAAACACGGTCGTTGGAGCTTTTTTGTGACAAGCTGCCCATTGAATGTTGCTGGGGGCGTAGCCAGCCCGCCGAACGCACTAGCGATCTTCTAGGTACATAGCAAGCTCACAGATTCCCCTCGATCAATTGAACGATGGCCGTGATGACATCGATAGAAAACTTGGGTGTTGCCGACAGCTCCGGGAAATAGCCAAAAGCGTGGGGCAAGCCGGGGTAGATGTCGACCTTTGTCGGCACACTGGAAAGGTCAGTTGTGAACAGATACGTTCGGATTTCATCTCACCCTGCATCTTTGAGTTTGGCGGCGTAGGCCAATCCTTCATCCCTCAGCGGATCCATGCCCGCGACTTGGAGATAGGCCGGCGCCAACCCTTTGAAGTTGTGGTTGAGAAGAGGGGACACCTCTGGGCTGGATGGATCTGGCGGGCTGTAGTATCCATAGAATGTCTCCATAGAGCGCTTCGAGAGGAGGGGTGCATCTTTGAGCTCTTCCATGCTGCGAAGCTTGAGCTCAGGTGGATAGCAATCGATGTGGCAAGTTGCAGGGATCCTCAGAATTTGACCCTTCAATGCAATTCCTTTATCTCGAGCTCTATGGGCGATGACGGCAGTCTGGATTTGTTCAGATTGACTTTCCTCAATTAAAGGTCCCCGGAAAGCTTACAGAGTTCCCTCCGGAGCTGGAACCGCTGACCATGACACAGTCTGGATCTATACCCAGTGTCGAAGAATTCTCCAGCGTCTGAGCGAGACTCCTTGTCAACTCATCTCTCATACATGTCTCGAAGTAATTGGCTCTTACCCAAAGCAAAATATCCCAGCAATCTTCCAAGCCTCTTGGGAATGGGTTCTCAGGAGCCCTGAGGACTGGTCAGTATACTTGTTTCAATCCAATTTGTCCAAGCGTAAGTATTTGATGCTTACAGCCGATAGTCCATAGATACGACGACAACTTTGGTGTACTCGCAAATCGCTTTGCAAGCGATGTCTTCGCCCTCGAGATCACCGAGCGTCCAACCTCCGCCATGTATGCTGGTAGTCAGGTGAGATTTACAGCGAACGTCCTCTCCTACGTACTGGCCGAACTTACTACAAAAGGCCTGGGGCTGGAGTCTGTGCCCCGATTGGCGTATAGATCCGGCAAGGTATGTCAACCCCGCCCGAGACCTTCACTTGAATGTCTTTGGTTGTCAGTCCCGTGAACTGCGGAGCCATTGCTGTAGCGTAAACTTTGAGCTCCGCCATGACATCCCGAAGATGCTGCGGTGAGCCCACTAGGTGGGGCACTCTCGCAGCATTCTTCTCGTAGAACTTTGTAGACGTCAGGCTCCTTCCACAGAATTGATGTTCGGATTTCTTACAGCAGTCCATTCCGGATCAGGGACGCCGAGATGTTGATACTGAGACTGGCTAGACTCCAGATCACCCATGGCTTTAGCTAGTCGGATTTAACAGATATCACGAATGACAGAATGATGGCGTTGTTGGCAGACTAGAAGCGGCCTGATCTTTGACTTCAAGACGGCGATGATGAATTATATCACTGAGACCAGCTTCGCAACTACAGGCCATTACCAAAGTTCCATGATGTGTAGCGGGGAAAGGAGGATTTCTGACCGGAAACGGGTTTCCGGACCGTGTTGTGCAACATCACATTGGTCATTGCTTACACCCGTGGTGACACGGCGATACACAGAAACCTTGGCGCGGGCTTCTTTCGGGCTGAATTGGACATACCAATGGACACTTGCTGAATGCTATACACCGCCTCATTATCGACGGGGGTGGTCGATGAACTGAGGATAAGCACTAAAACTGAACTGGATGCTAAGAGAGCTGCCTGATTTGGTTCAAATCACACTTTGCGGGGCTTCCGCGGTCTCCGACTGCTAAATCCCTCTGCCACCATCGACGTCTAGAGATGCCCCTGTGATCATGGATGCTTCATCGCTGGCTAGGAATGCAACCGCGTTCCCAATGTCTGTAGGTTGAGCGAACCGCCCGAGAGGAATGGTGTTGATAAATCTGTCTCGGCCCTCTTGAGAATCATGTCCGCCGAGAAAGAATGGGACCCTAGTGAACATGTCAGATTTAAATAGAAAACAGGGTATCTCTCGACTTACATGGAGGTTTCCCCTGCGACGGGATGAATAACATTGAAGCGGATATTGTGCTTCGCCCACTCGATCGCTAGGCCTTTGGTTGCGTTGGTAAGACCTCCCTTACTGGCCCCGTACCACACAAGTGTTGGTCGGGGTCGGACTGACGCCATGCTAGAGATATTGATAAATATTCCACCCTTCTTCTCAGCCAAGAAGTGTGGAATGACAACATTGGAACTCCAGTAGAGGGACTTGAGGTTGACCCTCATGACTCGATCGTAGTCGGCCTCAGTCGTCTCGATGCTTGAACACGCGTTGTAAACAACCCCAGCGTTGTTGACGATGATGTCTAACTTGCCAAAGGTGTCCACCGCAAGGCTCAAGGCAGCTTTCCAATCCGCTTCCATGGAGACATCACCTCTCATAGCCAATGCGGAGCCTTCAGGCTGCAGAGCTGCGGTCTTCTTCGCGTCATTTTCGTTGATATCAAAGATGAGTACTTTGGCTCCCTCAAAAGTGAACTTGTTGACAATGCCGACTCCAAATCCGGCCCCACCCCCGGTCACAATGGCCACCTTACCCTCAAGTCGTCCAGGGTGAGACATGTTGAAGAACGGTGAAGAATTCTGAAGAATGCTGAAGAATATTGAGACGGGGCAAAAGTCGAGAGTAACTGCGCGGATTCTAAAAGTCGTTCATGCTCAACAGATCACGACCCCTGCAATATCTAGCCGAAGCAGTTCATCACATCATTTCCTGCTGTGCCATGTACTGGAAGGACGTCGGATATGAGTGTTTGGCTTCTCCGATGCCAATCATGTTGACCAGATGACACATGAGGGGTCAATGCGTCATACCATACTGCCTTCTGTGCAGCACCGGCAAAGTATATCCGCTATTATACAAGCAATCATTCTATTGGATCCAGTGGTTGGAATGGAGGCACAGCATCAGTAGCCGACGTCAGCGGAAGATTCATTGACAAGTGCAATTGAGCACTGGCCTCGTGCAGCGTCCGCTATATGCTGTCGCGCGAACGGCGCTGAGGAAAGGTTATTGCCGCAAAGTTACATCAATACTTGTATCAACGCGAACTTTTGTACGTCTATTTGTTGAAAGCGATTTCAAGCGATTTCAACTTTGGCAGAAATCACACTGCGTTGTTTTGGTGGTACTTAGTGGCCCCCATTTCATTACTTCCGGCGAAACTCGACATAGCTAACATTATCAAATCTGTCCGTTCACTCGCGAACCCTAATATCTCAACATGGACGCGAATGGGAGAGCCGCAGCTCGTACCGCGGCCAGCGACTACGTTGTGACAGAGTCCCCTTTGGGGACTGCGCGAAAACTCCGTGTGTTGATGGTTGGTGCTGGAGCCAGTGGCCTGAACCTGGCACGGCACATGGACTTGCATATGGAAAACTTCGAGTTGACGATCTATGAGAAGAACTCAGATGTTGGAGGGACCTGGTTTGAAAACAGGTGATTGACCAAGTCTGAAAGACTTGACAACTGCTGAGACATATCAGATATCCCGGGTGCGCATGCGACATCCCTTCTCACAATTACCAATTCACGTGGGAGCCCAACCCAGACTGGACTCAGTAGTAAGACAAGGCTCTTAGCCTGGACTGCCACAATTGCTCATATCTTCCAGTTACTCTGAGTGGAATGAGATCCTGGAGTACTTCAGGGGCATCGCACACAAATACGAGCTCTATAAGTACATCAAACTCAGCCATAAGTTGACTTCTGCCGGTTGGAACGAGGCATCTGGAGTTTGGAACGTGGAGTGTCTAGACCTTAGTACGGGAAACACGGTTCACGATTGGAGCCATGTCCTAATCAACGGCACTGGAGTCTTGAAGTGAGCCTTCCATTCAAACGGAAAGATGATACTTGCTAATAATTGTAGCAATTGGAAGTGGCCCGACATACCGGGCCTTCATTCTTTCAAGGGCGACCTCTTTCACAGTGCAACCTGGGACCCTGAATGCCAGGTTGCTAAGAAGACAGTGGCTGTTCTGGGTACTGGATCTTCAGGTATCCAAATTGTCGCAACGCTGCAACCTCGTAAGCCCGAGATGACGATTTTTAAACGAACGATCGACTCGCATTCTAACATTCCTTTCTGTGCAGTTGTGAAATCATTGGTCACATTCATTCGGTCTCCTACATGGATCACAGCAGGGTTTGCCCAAAGCCATGCCGGCCCAGGCGGCGCGAACTTCTCTTGTGAGCAATCTCAAAGTTTTATTTAAACTGTGTTTTTTCATACTGCTGAGACTTGAACTTTAGTTACGGAAGAGCAGAAGACCAACTTCAAAGAAAACCCAGACGCCTACATGAAGTACCGTAAGGAGATTGAGGGAGAACTGAACTCCAGGTTCCGTTTTGTAAGCAATCTGAGTCTTCAATCGGCGCAATTCTCATGAAACTTCAGGTCATCGCAGACAGCGCCGATCAGAAGGAAGCCAGAGAATATTCGAGCAATGAAATGAGAGTCAAGCTCAAGAACGAAGACATTCTCAACTACCTCATGCCCAAGAATTTTGCGGTCGGGTGCCGTCGTCCCACGCCTGGAAACGGGTATCTCGAAGCTCTCACGAAGGATAACGTGCGTGTAGTGACGAACGATGTTGAGAAAATTGTCCCCAATGGTATTCGGCTGACGAACGGCGAGATCATACCAGTTGACACTTTGATCTGTGCCACTGGGTTTGACCTTTCCTTCTGTCCGCGCTTCAAGCTGATCGGCAGAGATGGCGAAACCATCGATGAGAAGTGGAAAGATGTCCCTGAGGCTTATCTCTCCGTTGCTGTCCCTGGATTCCCAAACTACTTTAGTGAGCCTTCCGTGCCCATTGGCGGTTTAGTCATATCTGACTGAGCACTAACAATGGTAGTCTTTCTTGGTCCCAATGCACCCGTGGGTCACGGCTCGGTTCTCCCGATAATCGAACATGCAACAAAATACATCATCAACATGATAAAGAAGATTCAGTCCCAGAACATCAAGGCTGTATCACCTTCTGCGAAGGCGGTGGATGAATTCAATGAGCACATCACTGAGTTCATGAAGAGGACGGCATGGGCTACCCCGTGTCGCAGCTGGTTCAAGAGAGGCACTGTGGATGGCAGAATAGTCGCATTGCACCCAGGAAGTCGCATTCATTGGTTCCATATGATGAGTCATGTGCGCTATGAAGACTGGGAGTATACATATCACTCAGAGAACCGGTTTCAGTACCTTGGAAATGGGTTCTCAACCAAGGAGGGCCCGGGGAAAGATACGACGTGGTACTTCGAAGCGCCAGAAGAAGGATACGAAGAGTATTGATAAGGACTTGACACAGATCGAAGTCAAATGACTTTGAGTTTACATGGTTAATGGCGTTCTCTCCAATAACCCAGGAAGGGCCCGACATGTGCATTGTGAACAGATCGGAGAAGACTCAAAGACACCATGGAGATAAGACACGACTTCCAAAAGAGGTTTCTCAACCCATAGATCCATTTATACCACCTATGTCCATCTACCTAGAGGTCCATACCACCCCAGAAACCTTCATTCAATATCTGATAATTACCGCAATTGAACATCAAGCGCCGATCATACCTGGATATCCATCAGTTTTTATTACGTCAAAAGCCGTTTGGTTGATCTTATGCAACCTACCTCCATTCGGAGCGATAGTGCTAGCAGTCACGAAGCTTGCTCTGCCGCTTGTGACCCAAACGAGACACTCCGCGACCTCCTCAGGAGTTCCAAGTCTTCCGGCCGCCATGCCACTCACCATCCCCTGGACATCAACACCCATATCTTTATCAGGGACATCACTTAGAATGGGTGTTCTAATAACACCAGGACAGATGGCGTTGACCCGAATGCCATGCTTTGCATAGCGAAGGCCATCGGACCTCGTGAATCCCAAGATAGCGTGCTTACTAGCTGTGTAAGCAGGAAGATGGTCATAGGCCATCAAGGCGCACATAGAAGCGACGTTGGCGATTGATCCTCTAGCCGGAAAGTTACTGTCCTCTGCTTTAAGTTGGTCTTGCTGGAGCATCTGCTTGATCTGGGCTCTTTGGCAGAGCCACGTTCCCCTCAGATTCACGCGCTGCTGAAGGTCAAAAGAAGCAACCGAGACTTCGTCCGTAGGACCAGGGAGCAAGATGCCCGCGGCATTGCAAGCGTAGTCTATGCGCCCGAGCTCGCGGACTGCTGCTAGCATCATGGAATTCACTGATTCCTCTGATCCAATGTCTGCTCACATGAGTCTTTTCGCCCGGAAGCCATATTACCATAAAGCAGACTAACCAAGCTCGAAAGCTGCCACTTTTGTGGAAGAGTACTTTTCTTCAATTTCGGCTTTTAACTCCTCGATTGGATGTTTTTTGATGTCGCCAATAGCAATGCGTCTGCACCCTTCCTTGGCAAAAAGTCTCGCTGTTGCTTGGCCAATCCCTTAAATGGCTCTTAGCTTAACACAAGACTACATGACTCGGTGTGGGTTTACCTGATCCTGCGCCAGTGACAACAGCTACGCCGGGAAAACTGAGTCGCATGATGTGAGAAATTGAATGGATATGCTGGGTAGTATCAGACGAGCCTGAGGACCACTGCATCGATGACGGCAGACGTTGCAGTTGAGGGAGAACGAAGAATCATGTCGTCACTCAATGTGATCTATGTCTTCTCATGCCGAACACCCCCCGGAACATCGCACCGGAGCCGTGCTGAATAGCCCCGGGTGTCCGGTCTTCACTGGACCCCTCCAGAACTCAGCGGCTATCCCCGGAAAACAAGAATTATCTAAGGAGCCTCACGTGTTAATCAACATGATTTTGCCTTGAAAGCCGTACATGCAGTGAAACATACCGGTATGCGACTCTGGCATTTAGTGGTTATAAGTGGCTGCTTGTGATTGGCTTGACACAAGCGAGATACGAGGACAGTCAGATATTTCCTTGTCATCCTGAGCGACACCCATGTAGTTCGATCTGTCACTGAGCTGGGCCCGCTACATCCACCAATTGCAGAGTACGCCTTTCTAATGCCAACACCGCCGCATTTAGCTGAATGCTTTCAGCTGATTCAAGCATGTTAAAATGAGCCGATAGTCGAGTTAATGAGTTAATTGCACTGACATTTTTTTTTTTGAAATCTTCTATGGGAAGTTTGTTCGTCTAATCTGTCTTCATCATTCTCGACGCTATGGCATCGTTTTTTCGGCAAGAGAAGCCATCTCTCATCGACTCTTATGGGTACAAATTCCGGCAAACGCCGCTCCACATGTCACCGGAGCAGCTCGATCCCTTGAAGCACAAGTTCGATGAAGTTGGTTCGGAGGCTCTCGCAGCCTTAGATGGCATGTTTCCTCCCCCGCCACCGCGAGCTGGGTGGTATGCAAAGGAAAGGGGGGAGAACCCTCAGCCGGACCGAGACACGTACGCCCTCCTTCGCGACAATCAACACAGGGACGAGACATTGCAAAATCTCTGGGATGAGATCAACTCAGTGCCCGACTGGGTTGACTGGGAACAGATACAGCGTGGCCAAGACGTGTTCTATCGCTATGCTCCCGCTGCTATAGCCGGCTTCGCTTTCCAGGGACTTCTTGCGACCACCGTAAGAACAACTTCTGTATCTTCCGATATATGATTCTAACCAAGGGGTTTGAAGGGGGCTTCTTATCGACCGGCCGAGACATTGGTGCGCACTGGAGGCCACTCGGCAAAGGTTGCCAAAAACCGTCTTTTCGAGACCTTCCAGCTCATTCTCCAAGTTACGAAGTCAGTCAACGACGTTAAGCCTGGAGGTGACGGATTCGCATCGGCTGTCCGTGTGCGTCTGTTGCACGCATCGGTTCGGAACCGCATTCTCAAGCTCAACGAACAGCGGCCGGGATACTTCGACGTCGACAAATTTGGCGTACCGATCAATGAGCTCGACTCCATGCAATCTGTCTGCGCCTTCTCGACAAATCTCATCTGGCTTGCTTTGCCCCGTCAAGGCATCTATGTGCGACAGCAGGAAGCACTTGACTACATGGCACTATGGAGATGGGTTGGGTACGTCCTCGGCACCCCCCATTGGGTTTTGGAAACACCAGAGAGAGCTCTTGCGTCCATGGAGTCGCTCCTGAATGCCTGCCTTGCTCCGAGCAAGAACTCCAGGGTATTGGCCAACAATCTGGTTGTTGCACTTGATGGAGTCGCTCCAATCCACGAGCCTAAAGAGTTCTTCGAGGCGGGGACTCGGTTCATCAATGGCGACCAGATGTGTGACGAGATTGGACTAGGCAAACCAGGACTGTACTGGGATGCGGTTGTCAGAGGTCAGTGCTGGGCTTTGATGGTGATCACGTATCTATCACGATCGATTCCAGCTTGGGACAGGTGGCAAGTCAAGGTGAGTCCCCCCGACCTCCATCGTTGTAGGTTTTCTTAATCAGCGTATCATCTAACCCGCTTTCGCAGACATTCCGTAAACTGTTTTGGGATTATATTGTCGAAAACAAAGACAGCTTGAACGGAGTGTACAAGTACGAGTTCAAGTACGTCCCGCACCACGATGCCCAGACAGGTGCCGAAACCCGGGATGGTCCGAGGGCCAAGATGGGCATCGCTCCTTTGGAGATTTTCGGGCTCTTTGGATTCTCTGTGGCCATGATACTGCTGACGCTGGTGTTGACTCTTGCGGCTAAAACGGCTATCTACTACGTTCCCAGTAGCCCGGGGGTTGTTTTCACAGCTGGGAACTTTTCCAAGCATTGAGAATTTGTGCGAGAGCATTTTCCTGAGCTGCATAGCCCCCTCCCAATCACTTCACGAGCGCTTTTGGAGGAATTCCTTTCATATGAGATATGTAGCATGGCCTTCCGAACGCACAGTATCGTTTAGTACAACAAATTGTAAATTGAATATCTATCATCTCTGTAATACAGAATACCAACCCTGAATCACTAGATTCGTCAACGCTGGACTGAGCGTACGCTATATTGGATGCCGTTGCCCTGATTCATGATTGCCAACAGGACCGAGAGAAATTCTATTCACTGTCACTTCCAGGTCCTTCTAAACTGACATCTTGGCAGTTGCTGCAGATTCCGATTCTTAGACTGGCTCGTCCTATTTGTCTAGTGCTCATCCGTGAATTTTCTCAAGTTCCCTTGCCACGGCGTCGTGGTACCCCTCGATACCCGCTGTCTTCATGCAAACAGCAAGAAGGTCTTCTGGAAGTGTCCCGTTGCGGGGAAGATCGATGCTGAGTGTGCGTTTGAAAATACAAGCCTCCTTCTTCGTGCCTCCAACTTCCATTTCTGCCTTCTGGAAAACGTACTCGATAACCGTCGTCCCATCGACACCATCGGTAATGGCCTCGTCCGTAGCTCCGATTCCGTTTTCTTGGAGGAAAGACCACTTCCACGGCTCGATGGCGTTAATCAAAGTCCATTTGGCGTAGTAAGTGTTGTTCTGAAGGGCAACTTTCTCTGTCCATTGTGATCCAAGAGTCAATGGTAGCTTGAGGTCTTTTTGTTGAATGCCGCCGCTGCCTTTGTACGTGAGCGGCCAGTTGTGCGGGTTGGTGACGAAAGCATAAACTTGCTCTCTGGTGTAGGGCAGCAAAGTTTGAGAAGAGGCTGAGCAGATACCCATGATGGCTGCGAAAATCGTCGTGCTGCCAAGGATTGGGGTCGTAGAGGGGAAACAAGGCGTTGGTTGGTTTCTGATACAAAAGCTGAGTAGGATGGTGAACAACCCAAGCCTCCCCTCATTTGGGGGAGAGATCAGTGTTCATGTGTGAAGGACTAGGGCCCGCAGTGACGATGTGGCTGTGGGCCTGTTGTGAGCTCACAAGCTACCGGAAAATGTAGCCGGTCATTGATTTAGTGTGACAAGCTTAGCAAAAGGGGGTTAGGCGATACACCGGAATTGACTTGAGACTTTTCCGGGCAATCACACACTACCTTCATACCAACGACTGGGATGTTGGACTCTCAGGGTGGCTTCTCAAAGTTCCTAGAGTGACTAGAGAGGGTAACGGCGAAATTGAACGCCACATCATGAAGCATAAATCGGAGGACAACCAAAGGCTTGAGTTAGTCAAATGTGATTGTGGCCAAAGAAGCTCAACTGCACGATCAAATATTTGCTTTCACACGTGAAATTTTCACATCTACCTTCAATATGCCATCAGCAACATCTCAGCCAGCCTTAAGCTTCACCCCCTTACATCCGACATTCGGTGCTTCAGTGGAGGGCATGAAGTGGGAAGCGCCAGTACCACAGCATGTCACTGCCGAAATTCTAGACGGAGTGCACAAGTATGGAGTTCTCGTTTTCCGGAAAGCCAACCTCGATAACGAGCAGCACATCGAGTTCTCACGCCAATTCGGGGAACTTGACGACGTCAAGGCGCACATCCGCGCTGGTCGGGCAATGAGATTTCCTCACCAGCCTGAAATTTTTGACGTCTCAAATCTGGATGAGAAGGGCAACGTCTTGACTGACGTGGAACCCGCGCGTCTAGGGGCGAACAAGGGAAACTTGTTGTGGCATGCGGACATGGCGTACAACCCACAGAGATGCTCGTACTCTCTACTCCGCGCCGTCGAATTGCCACCCAAGGGCACAGGGGGAGAGACGCAGTATTTGGACTCGCGAACTGCCTACGAAGATATGCCCGAGCAGCTACGAGCCAAGATTGATGATTTGATAACCAACAATTCTCTCATGCACAACCGCAAGTTGGCAGCTCCCGACATTTTCAAAGATGTCGAGCCACTGGACATGCCAATGTCACGACACCGCCTCGTGCAACTGCATGAGGATTCAGGGCGCAAGAATCTCTACGTCACAACCTATGCCCATCATTTCGACGAGATGACGATGGAAGAGAGCAAGCCACTTCTCGACGAGCTTCTAGCTTGGGTTTCTCAGCCGAAGTACATGCTGACTGTGTCATGGGAGAACGACGGCGATCTCGTCATGTGGGACAACCGCGCGGTCTTGCATCGCGCCACGGCTACGGGGAGCTATGGAGGCAAACACCGACGGGACATGAGGCGAACGACTGTCAAGGATGGTGGGAACTCCGGGTGGGGAGAGAACGGTGTGGGCTGTAGCTGGCAAGCTGGGCTTTCGAAATAAGGTTCTAAAACGCTAGCTATCTGCCGCGCAAGAATATGTATGCGCGGAAACTTGTTTTCAGTTGTTATTCGTATCACAACAGACGGGAAGTAGGAACGGCCTTTACCCGTGAACCCCGACCTCATGCGGACATGGTTTGCCGACACGGGTGCACCCGTGGCCCTGGAGTTAGTTCCGCCGCCGACGCTCGCCTATCAGCTATTATTTAGATTATGTTCATTTCAATCGATTCTTTTCAAAGAGCAAGGCATTCTTCTTCATGCAAACATGTATCACAATGAACAGAACGACAACAAAAGTCCCCGCCAGACCGCTCAGTGCAACAGCACGGGCCCTGAAGACTTCATACGTGCAGTGGTCAAAAAGACCGGGCCTGCTCTAGGTGTTGCTCTTACTATACCTTCGTTGACGGTTGCTCAACTTGTCAGTCAAGTAGGATGTGACTTTGCATTCATCGATATGGAGCACTCCCCTCTCGGACCAGAACAGATGATTGCCATGGTTCATGGAGTTGCTGCTTCGTCGAGAGGCTCATGCTTCCCACTCGTCAGAGTTCCATCACAGGGAGTCGAATGGATCAAGTGGGCTCTCGACAGCGGTGCAGCGGGTATCATTGTGCCAATGGTGAACAATGCGGCGGAGATGAGGGCGATTGCCCAACACGCCTTGTATCCCCCTCGCGGTAGACGGAGCTTCGGACCAAGCAGCGCGCCTTGGGGTCTCCCTAATGGTCCAGGCGGCGGCGTGGGAGAGTATTTTCAACGGGCATCGGAGGGCAAAATAGCAATTTTGCCCATCATTGAATCTGCTGAGGGTGTTGAAAATGTCGAAAATATCATCTCCATTGACGGTGTCTCTGGCGTTTTCATTGGCCCTGTCGACCTCCGACTTTGACTGGGCCTTTCGGGAGCAGATGGAGAAGAGCCAGTCTACAAGGCAGCTCTGCAAAAGATAATCGGGGCGACAAAAAAGCGAAGTATCGTTATTGGAAGTCTGGCGTTGGATGAGAAGGTTGCGAGGAAGCGGGCAATGGAGGGTTTTAACTTTCTCGTTGTCTCCACAGATGCGATGAGCATGGTCAGTCGGGTTAAATCAGACTTAAATAGGGCATCCATGGTCACCGCTCCTCATACCGTGGCTTCGTTATGAAAGGACTTCACTAGAGACGGTGAGTAATTGCTATCGGACAGATATGTGCTGTTATAGGTTGTCGTCTTTCCACGTTGGGATAGGAAAAGGAAACCACATAGAACATTGAATGATTTCTCTTCGGGAGCTGATTCGGAATATTTTGTTCCATGGAATCGATCTCTTGATTGCTATTAAGGCTCATTGTAGAAGCCCTCCAGTCACATCAGGAAACCAGAGATTATCAGTAAGCCTTGGGTCCGGGCTGAATCCATCACCCAACAAGTTTCCCTGGCCGAGAAGGAAGTCATCATGTACTAACGCCCCCATTGATCCCCATGATCCGGATACGGGCTGAGCCACCGTGTTGGCCATGACGCTGTGACTGTCCAGGTTCTGAGTTCCATTGCTCAAGTTCATTGATCCAAAGGAACCGGCCAGTATTGTGTTCTCAGTGATCCTGGAGAGTGTTTGGCGCATCTTTTCAACAACGGGATAATACTTCGGGAGGTCTCTCATCGTCTCAGTCAGAAAGCCAAGCAGCCGAGAGGCCTCGCAATAGCTACCGTCCTGCTCACCCATAATAGGTGGCTGCAATATGTGGGAGACCAGCGTGCTTGCCGCAATGTACAAATTGTCCAACATGACGGTGATGAAATTCTCAACACCGAACATCTCGCGATAAGTCAGAAGAAGCCGGCAGATGCATACGGCATTATCGTACAGTATTCGGCGAAAGTTTTTGATCTGGTCGTCGTGGTCGACACCGTTGGCTTTGCTGGAATCGTGTTGTAAAAGGACTTTGACAAGCGTTCGGTGGAGAACAATTTGGATGCCGTGATACTGTATGTTGAGTCCGTATGATGTGACACAGAGCTCGGAGGTTTGCTTCGATGAAATACCCGGCGGTAATCTGTGGTGGGCCGCCGAGATCCGCGCACTGAGGTCCAGGAGGCTGTCGACGCAGGTGTGGTCCAGCGGTGGGCCAAAGCCATTGAGCTTCTCTGTAACCTCTGATATGTACTTGCAGAGAGCGACCCAATGCTCAAGTGGGCCTGTTGATTTGGCCGACGCAACTTGAGGTCGTCGTTGTTCAAGGCAGTTCATTGGGACGCAGCTGGGACGACCAAGGTAAAGCGCCCACAGCCTGTCATAAACAAAGGCTGACAGGAACAAGGAGACTCTCAAGTCTGCATCTGCCTGGACGAGTATGCCGTGTCTGATCAATCGAGAGCAATCTTCATGAAGGCCAAGGTCGAATATCAGCCGGCACGCAATGCCTGCGGTGCTTTCTTAGCTTCAGATCAAATATCCCAGGACGCAAACGTACCATTGTATGTCCATCCAATTCTATCTCTAGCAGATGTGGCTTCAAAGTCGCTCAGCAGCAGGAACCCTTGCAAAGTCGCGATGGTGGGTCTCTCTAACTCAAAGACAATATCCTTCTTCGCCAGGTCGGCATACGCACGACCCAGCTTCCTCACGGAGCTTGATGTCCTGATCCGAGTTGCACATGCTAGCATAGCAGCTTCTAGAAATGGAGAAAAGTATTGGGAGCGTTGTCCGGATGCACGATGGGCCATGAAAAGTGACTCGTCAACAACAGGGACTGAACGAGAAGAAAAGCTCCAGTATGACTTGAGCAACATGTCCCTCAGTTGTAAAGAGTCCATGTCTACGGAGAAGCTCGACATGGGGCCAGTATCTGCGTGAATGGGGCCGTCTCCCACGTTGTTTGCCGGGAGAGATTGGATATGTAGTTGAGTGGTCGGACCATAATATCTCACCTGCCCAGGGCTTGAATCTGCATCCAAATTCTGCGTGACTTCCTCAATACTAGGCTCTTGATGCCGTTGAGAAATGGTCTCAGGCAGGGGTGGGTTGGCTGCTGTATGGGCATCGAGAGGGACCGGGGAACCTAACTCGATCGAGTTTCCCAACTGCGGGTCTATATTCTCTGTCTCGTCCGCATTGAATAGATCCGATGGAGACTCACGCCGATCCTCATCGTCGTCTTCGTGAACTTCGTGGTGTGATATTGGTGTACGCTGGCTGCAATCTCTTAGCTGTGAACGTGCCAAGGGCATTGGATTGTTGATCGCAACATAGAACAGGGCAGCCATTGGATGAGAAATTCATTTGAGAGACTCACTCCGAGTCTTCGTCGCCACTAACATCTCTCACCGAACTATCCTTATCCATCGGCTCGGCGTGTGGATAATCCAAGGACGATGTATCCGGTGGCGAGCATAGAGCCGATTGAGGATCTTGAGTCCTTGTTGTATTTTGGAGGTTTTTGATGCCACTCTGACTAAATATGGTGATTAGTGGTCGTCAATAAAACACGCCAGAAGTGAAGACCTTACCTGATGAGTGCTTCGAGGAATTCCAGTCTTCCTTGCAGAGCAACGATGTACTCTCGCGAGCCATGCCTGCAGATAGGCTCAGTTCAAATATCAGCATGCGTTGATTACAAAACTTCACACAATGTCGAAGTTAAAGAAAGGGAGTTCTGCTGTCTGACTTTCTTCTGTCGCCATTAGGCGTAGTCATGCACTCAATATTCGCGTTTCGGCAGGCTGTACAGCCTGTTCCTGGCTCCAGATTCTGAACATCGCACTTGGATCTCCGTCAGTCTTGTCATGGCTTAGGAAGAAAGTTGAAATACCTTTGTTTTCTTTTGCCGGCATCCAAGGCATGCCATGGACGCCCGGGGCTGGCTGCGTGCCGAAGGTTTGGACACGCGCCGCGTAGCAGTGGGGCTCCCGGCCGGGCCTTGAGAGCTCGGAGGCATGATACCGGCCAGACAAACGTTCTCGTTCAGCAGGGTAACAAATGAATGCTGCAGTGCGGAAACAGTATGTCAAACAAGCGCGCCGGAAGATGGATTGTGATGCGGAAATCTGAAAACGCCCTCGCCGGCAAGTATAAACATCTTTTCTCATCTTTCCAGCACCTGGTCTCCCATATGCAGGCCTTCCCAAGCGGCATCGGGCTTGTGCGGGGAAGAGAGGAGCTAAACATCCCCTGTCTTGTGGAGTGCATTAGGGGTTGCAGAAGATCTCACAGTGCGAACGCGAAGCATCCAAATTTATCAAGGCTCACTCTTGTTTTGGACGGCTGAAGGAGGGTGTGGAATGTCAAAGCGTATGAAGACCTTAGCAATAGGTGGTTTGCTGTTGGTTGGTTGCAGCGGCATAAGCAACCCACAGGAGACAGCACGGACATGGCTCCTCCGGCTGCATTTTCCGGGCACATTTTCGTCCCTTACCTTCAGGTAAACTCGGTGAGCCAGCCAGCCACATACCCTTGTTCATTCGGTGAGAAGCCAGCAGCCTTAGCGACCGAAACCCCCGCCCAGGGGCTTGGTAAACAAGCAGGTCTGTGCCTGCGAGGACTTCGTCTTCCTCAGCTCGCGTCGGTGACGTTGATTGACCTCAACTGCCATATCTACACCGTACCTCTCGAATACGGCAATATCTTGAGCGCAGATCGTGACACGTTCTCAAGAGTGCGGCGGCCGCATGATGGAAACTGATTCCAACAACGGTTCAAGGGGCCAGGACGGGCCCCGCTCGCGGAAACGAGCAGCAGCCTCTCAGGGCAAGTCGGAGTCAGCGGCTGAGAAAAAACGTACGCAGAACAGGATCTCTCAGCAATGTGCGAGAGAAAAGCAGTCTGCGTACATCCGCCAGATGGAAACTTTGGTCGCAGCTTTGAAGACTCCAAATGAAGATGCTACGGAACAAACGAAGTACGATGAACTGGTCAAGGCCCACCTCAAGCTCGCGGAGGAAAAGCAGCAGGTGGAAGACGCGTTGTTCCGCCTTCGTCAAAAGCTTTTGAGTGTTGGAAACCTTGCCACGGCAGCCGCTGGTGAGTGCGCCTATCCTGAACTCCCATGTTAGGCTTTAAGGCACAGCAAGCCAGCAACTAAGACACAAAGTAGATGATCCTATATTCTCAACGCTAAGCAAGTCATCCTTGGATTCAACGAGTGAGAAAGAAGCTCCTATGTTAGAGAGGAGTGAAGAAGAGCGTTCGTCAACGATCGCGGTCCCGCCAAGGGGGCCGGGTCCTGCCCCCGCGGCCGATGTTGCCGATCTTTCTGCGTCTAATCTCGGGGCTCCGGATGCGAGCTCGGGAGGAGCCGCTATGGGGCTGCAGTCAGCTCCAGAACATGCAGACACCAGCTACGTGGCCCAGTCATTGCATGATAACCGCAGTATCTTGCAATCACCTTCCGCTTTCTTGCCGGCGGATCTGACAATGATGCCAAGTCTTACCACTTCCATGCCCAGCTGGAGCTCTCCTTGTGCCTCGCCGAACCTACGTTTCCCTTTCGGACTGTTTGATTCAAATGCGATGCCAACCATGATGTCCCTACCTTCCGACATGATGTCCTTCCAACACCTCCAGCCCTCGGGTAACGAGATGACAGCTATCATCAACAACTCAAGCCTATTCGCGGACCAAGTCAAACTGGCCGCAAACCATGTCATGTCCAAATCAGTCAGCACGTCTCAGGATCAGATGGACCATCCACTCGTCATGGCCAACCAAGCACGCTTGGTGACCAAGCTTGCTTCAATTGCTGTTGAAGTCATAGGCGCTCTTGCAGGCCTGGAACCATACATCTACGGCGTTGTACGTGTCTTCACTCACTGCCTTGGCACCAGCTATTCTTGATTGCTAACGACCAGAGCCTCAGTACTTCTCCAAGTACATGGAATCCGTCATGCGCTGGCGAATCTCAAACTCCGTCGAAGACAGACTGCAAATTCCCGTCCCTTTCCGACCCACACCACTCCAATCCGCCACTCCCTTCCACCCAGTAGTCATCGACTTCATCAACTGGCCATCCATCCGCGATCAGATGATCCTGTACTCGTCCAAACTTGATCTTGACGCCATGAGCAGGGATATTGTCTTGAACACCGTCGTTGAGTTGCCTGGGAAGCGCGTATCTGTCAACATTCACGATGTGTTTTTCAACCACATTCTTCCTCGTGTCGGCGGTGGTCGGGCCGATGGCAGCAATTCCATGTTGCATAATCGTGAATGGATATACTTGAAAGTGCCCGTCAATCCTGCCGGCGGCATGACATACACCGGCTTTGCCCTGGTCCAAGAAGCTCTCGCAGCTGAAATGGACTGCAGGATGGGACAGGCCCAGTCTCCTAGATCGACTACAACGCATCTCAGGCCATCTGACGAGGGCCTTGCCAGCAGAAGCGCCCCGTATGGTCCAGAAATGATGGTTGCGGATGCCTTAGCAGCCTTTGGAATTGACCAGCCATCCAACTGGAAGCTTAGCAACGACTTTGCCAGAAAATACCCACATATCGATTGCTCGCTTGGTATGTCAAACTTCCAAATGCCGACGTATTTATCATTCAAACTTACTGACTATAGTGTAGATGTTTCTCAGTATGAGATGGTTTCCTCCTCCTCAATTTCATTAGACGATGTAGTAGAGTTATAGCGACCAGCATTTCCATCCCCGAAGAGCAAGCCGGGCGCCCAAGACTGCTTTCTGATACCAGCCCGTCTGCTTACACATTCCATACTCTTTCACCAATGAATCGCTCAAATTGATCCGTTCGAAAATGGCATCCTCTTCGCCGTTGCGCCTTCACCATTCCCCTTCTTCTTTGGTCCATCGTGAACCATGTCTGCCATCCTCATTACTCTTGCGTCCTCGGCATCCTTGTCCGGCTCATATCCAACAAACGCCCTGTCGATAGCATCTAACGCCATGTAAGGGCTGAGATCGCCGTTCTCCGCCATCATGTTCTTTGTAAAGCCTAGGCCCAAGTATTCCCACATATTGTGCTTATTCGAGTACTTGATCTCGAAGTCCTCGTACCTCGGCTCTGCGATCAGTTCGCAAAAGTGCAGGCTGCTACCAGGCCAGATCGCATTGACGCGCCCTGTGTTGTTGTCCTTGTACCACGATCGACACCCAGAGTCCGCCCATGCGGTCCCGACCATCCAGGCCTGCGCATGCTCATTGAACTGGTCTGTGACGGACTGCTTTGGAACCATAGAGGCAATGTTCTCTCGCTGCATCTTCTGTATGACTTTCAGGATGTACCGCCCTACAGCCTGGAGAGGTCCCATAACACTTCCGTTGGCGATGGGGAATGACGGCCCCACGACCGTGAAGTAGTTGGGTATATCAGGCACACCCACGCTGAGATATCCTTCAGGGACTTTCTTCCATTTCTCCTGTAGGCTAATTCCGTTGCGTCCGACGACTGAGAAAGGCGGTCGGAAACTGGCGTCGAAGCCGGTAGCGCAGATGATGGTGTCAACCTCGACCTCGTCGCCATTGGATGCAATGATGGTGGATGGGGTGACTTTTGTTACTGCACCCCTATGCAACACCACGTTCTCTTTTTGGACTGCGCGCATGTATGGATTACCAGGCGTAAGTCTTCGGCAGCCGACAGCGAAGTTGGGAAGTAGTTGTTCAAAAATGTCGTCTCTGTGGATGAACTTGCGCATGCGGTCTGTGAAGTGCTCGCGAATCATGCGTGCCTCGGCGCTGTGGACCATGAACGCGCGTAATCCAGCCGCAGTATTCAATTTGTCTTCGATAAACTTGGCTTTGTGAACAAGAGCTTTGGTGTCGCTCCTCATGGACTCGCGCTCGTTTGTAGTGTCTGGGATAACGTCTTTAGCAAGCTGAGGTTTCAGTCAAATGGAGCAACGCCTACAGTCGAAGTTGTCGCCACTGTGATCTGCAAACTCCGCGAACCATACCGGCGTCCTGACAAAGATGTCCATCTTTTCGACATGCGGTTGCATTGTAGGAACAACCTGCATGCTCGTCGCTCCAGACCCAATGACTGCCACCCGGCGACCTTTCCATTGCTCCTCGCCAAAGTCGGTCGGCCAACGTGCGGTATGTATCAGTCGCCCTTCGAATGAATGCAGACCATCGACCTCTTCGGGAAACTTCCATGAGTTGAGAATTCCGTTTGCGCCGATCACAATGTTGGCTACATCTTCGCGAATCTCCCCGGTTTCTGAATTCTTGATTCGGATGTGCCACTGCGACTCGTCTTCGTTCCAATCGCAGCTTATTACTGTTGAGTTGAAGACCATCTGCTTTCGAAGTCCAAAGCACTCAACAACGCGGTCGAGGTAGCGGAAGATGTCCTCGGATGGACTTAAGTACTTTGGCCAGTCGGGATACAAGGCGAAAGCAAAGGCATACGCATGGGAAGGTACATCGCACGCACAACCCGGGTATCTGTTCTATGAGATCGTCAGCGTCGTCTAGTTGAGTTGCGACAAGAAGACGAACCTCAAGCCAGGTTCCTCCGATATCACCGTTCTTCTCATAAACTACATGTTGGATGTTTTCGCCGTGTTTCTGTATCAGGTATGACATGAGTATGCCACTAATCCCGGCTCCAATCGTGATGACTTTGATTTTCTGATTTGGAGAGTTGAGGACGACGTCGGGGATTTGGTACTCTCCAAGCCTATGTCCTAGCCGGTATCCGTACTTTCCCCCGGGCTGATCGTCTTGTACATCACCATGTCGGGAGGCGTTTCCATTCGTGCTAGGGTCAAATACCATGGCGTTGGTTTCAATAACGAGCGGTGCTGTGAGTGCTTGCTTTTACGAGATTAAGTGCCTGGTCGATGACCTCGATCCCGTTTAGTCGAATAAGGTTTGGCATCCAAAGTCGAGACAACCGAGTTAGGGAATAGCCTTCTGGCGTCTCATCATAGACATGAACATTGACGAATAATTATAGACTTTAATGGTTTTTTTCGCTGGACATGTCACTTGCAGATTGCTAGATTGAATATTGGCACACAAGTGTTCCACGGTCTCCGGAAAAGGGCTCGCGGTTCGCCGAGACTGATTTGATAGAACATTTCAACCGTGCGCCTGATACACCGAGGCGCATTCAGGAGCCCCAAGCTCCCAAAAGTTGCATCCATTCCCCAGGGCAGTGCGTGTGCACTGTACGCTGTCGAGCGTTGCCATGCACCAACAAAGCTCCCCCGCATGATGCATCCACTCCCGGCTCCACTCCACCAAGATGACAATGAAATATCACTGTCATTCTTATTTTGACGCAGTCACTGTGAATTCTCAGGGGTAGGTTTGGGCAACGCTCGCCCTTGGGCCAGGCTGTATTACTAGGTCACCAAGAAGGACGACGACGAATCTCAAATCCTGAAACTCAAAGCGCGAAATGACGATTACATGATGTAAAGACATCGACTGTCATACGGCAGTCAACAAGGTGCGCCTCCAGGCGGCAAACTGCGAAGAAAAAAGTTAGAAGGGAAGAAAGAGACATCGACTGCCTGTGGTCCGGCAATGAGTACCCATTCTACAGCTAGTTTCTCCACGGATGTTCATAGACGGAAGGAAAACACATGAGATGATTTGGAGGGCGGGAAATAGAAGCCGAGCCATGATCAGCGCTTTATCAGATTTTAGGATTCTCCATATGATGTGAATGAAATCTAAGCTGGCTCAAACTGGCCTGTGATAATTATTTACAAGGTCACGAAGATACTCCCAAGAAACAGCGCAAGTCATTCAACGTATCCCACAAGACTATCATCATGAACGGAACTGACTCAACTCTCTCATTTTCGACGTTTTGTAACGTCATCGACGGGGCTTCAACTACCACCACGGAGACTCGACATGGCATTAACCCGTCCACTCTTGAAGCTAATCCCGAAGTCCCCATCTCACGGCCTGAAGATGTAGATCGAGCAGTTAAGGCAGCGAGAAAGGCGTTTGGGACATGGCGTCTCGTGCCGGAAGAGGATCGCAGGAAGGCCGTGGCTGCATTCGCAGCTTCACTTGGCGAGCACTTACAGGATTTCGCCACGATGCTTGTCAAGGAGCAGGGCAGACCTGTAAGATTGGCTAAAGCGCGTCTTCTGATCATCATTTATTGGCAAAGTGCATTCAGATGTGGGGTGCGCAAATGGAGGTATCTGCTTCTGTTGATCGTCTTGCGGCTACCGCCAAGATTTCACTGCCAGAGACCGTGGTTGAAGATACCGAAAAACGTCAAATCGTAACCAGATATACGCCTTTAGGGGTCGTATGTGCTATTGTGCCTTGGAACTGTATGTTTACTCCACGTGGGCTTCCCATGGAATAGGTTCGGGATTACTAACACAGATGATTGCCTAGTTCCCATCAATCTAGGTAAGCTTCTTCGACTCACTCGCTCAAAGGCAAAATTTGGCTCACATTCGGTTTCATAGCCTGTACCAAGCTCGGAGCTGCCCTGGTAGCCGGTAATGCCTTCGTACTGAAGCCATCGTGGGTCACTCTTTTGAAAAGCTCGCACGCAATATTCATACAATCCACTAAATTTGTTCAAGACCTTTCACTCCTTATTGTGGTCTGAAGCTTTGCGAGCTCGCTCAGCGATATTTACCGCCTGGGGTAGTCCAATGCCTCAGTGGCGACGATAGGCTCGGTCCATGGCTGACAGCACATCCTGGCATTGACAAAATCAGTTTCACAGGCTCGACTGAGACTGGTAGGAAGGTTATGGAAAGTTGCAGCAGAGGCTTGAAACGTGTCACTCTTGAGTTGTGAGTTCACACTGACCACTCATCTTGCAAAGCATTCTTCGGTGAACTTATATGACGCTTAGAGGCGGAAATGACGCTGCCATTGTTTTCCCAGACGTTGACGTCGCGTCGACCGCCACAGCAGTGAGTATTTTAAAGCCATTTGCTCTGATTCAACCAATATTGAAGCTAATTTCACTCAGATTGCCCAAACATGTCTCTTCAACACGTCTCAGGTGAGAGGAGGGCATCTAGTGATAGATGTGTTTGTGCTAAGGATCTTTTAGGTCTGTCTAACGATCAAACGTATTTATGTTCATACGGATATCTACCCTCAGTTTCTCCAAGCCTTCAGCGCGGTGGTCGAGTCCTCCAAGCCTAGTGACGGCTTTGCTGAAGGCGCTCTTCTGGGACCTATCCAAAACGAAACACAGTTCAAGAAGATCCAAAACATGGTATCGGAAGTAAGATCGGCAAACTTCAAGATAGTCTCCGGTAACGCATCATCTGCCGCGACTGGCAAGGGATATTTCGTTGCCCCCGTCGTGGTGGACAACCCGCCTGATGATGCACCCGGGGTCACTCAAGAGCCTTTTGGTGAGTCTTTTAGTCCTCAACCCACATCCGACGTCTTTCTAAGCTATACAGGACCCATTATTCCGCTTCCCACCTGGTCGGACGAGGAAGATGTCATTCAGCGAGCCAATGACAGCAAGCTTGGTCTTGGGGCATCTGTGTGGACACAAGATCTTGACCACGGAGCGAAGGTAGCCAGACGTCTGGAGGCAGGAAGTGTTTGGATCAACAATCATATGGATCTCGGTTCCAGTGCACCGTTTGGAGGCCACAAAGAGTCAGGTTTCGGGGTTGAGGGGGGACTCGCGGGAATCATCGGTTACTGCAACTCGCAGACACTCTATGTTCCCAAGAAATAGCCATACAAGTATGAAGTTATCCAATTAACACTATAAATGCCACATTCTTGCGCAGTAGCAATGTGTCGATACCGTAGTTTCAGGTCTCTTCTCACCCGACCATTTCTTAAGGCAATAGTGAAGTAGGATTTGCAGGATTTGCATAAATTTGCGGTAGGCGTCTCAAATCGGCGTATGGGTAGGTTGCCGGAAAATACAACCGAGGCTTCGGTAACGCTCGTGCTTCCCACCCCACCTTGCATCATTTGCAGTATCTGCACATATGCGATAACAACAAGCGAATTGAGTAATCAAATCCGACGATTGCTGTTATCTAAATAGTTCGATAGCTGGTTTTCTATACAGTTCGTTGACACGGTCGCCATCGCCTGGTCTTCACCTCACCTTGTCCAGGCAGTCAAGATGTTGTCAATCGACGAGGTAGCAACGCATAATTCTAGGAACTCATGCTGGATCATTGTTTCTGGTCACGTTTATGACGTGACGGACTTCTTGGATGAGCATCCAGGGGGAGCTGGTGTGATTCTGCGCTATGCAGGGAAGGTATGTGTGTTGAACGAAGAGATGACAGCTTGTTGACCAAGTTCAAGGATGCAACTGAAGAATATGAGCCGATACATGCTGAAGGCACGATTGAGACGCATCTACCAAGAGGTTATCTACGTTCTTCACTCATTGGTTTTTAAGAAACTGTGGACTGATCCATCATCAGATAAGAGGCTTGGTCCTGTAATTCGGTCACCGAGTGCTGAAAGGAAGAAGTCTCAGGATCCCTACCAAAGTCAAAGCCTTGTAACAGAAGGCTCAGCAACGGTGCTGCCACTTTCAGCTTGCCAGTCTCTCTCTGATATTGCCCAAGCTGCCGCTCTCACCCTTACGCCAAAAGCAAAAGCGTATTACACCAGTGGCGCTGAATCACATACGTCCTTACTCCGTAACCAATCCGATTGGTCTCTCGTCTCTTTCCGACCTCGCGTTCTTCGTAATGTCTCAAGGGTCTCAATGAGTTGTCGAATTATGGGTTTACAGAGTAGTCTGCCTGTCTTTATAGCTCCCGCCGCCGCAGCTCGCCTGGGTCACGTTGACGGCGAGAAGTGTCTGACTCGAGGAGCAGCACGTATGGGAATCCCACAATGTGTTAGCACTTATTCATCCGTGGCACCAAAAGACTTGACGGAGTGCTTTCAGGCGGAGACGGGCGGTCGTGGTGGCGGGATGGTGTTCCAGCTCTATGTGCCCAAGGTGAAGAAAGACGCCGAAGGACTCATCTTGAAGGCAAAGGAGCTCGGCTTCGACGCTTTGGCTGTCACGGTTGATGCCCCGGTAATTGGGAAGCGGGATGTGGATGATCGCTTCAAGGCCTTACTGGATTACGAGGCAGGCGTCGTCGCACAGGACAGCACGACACACCCTCCATTCCCAGGAGAAGAGGCAGAGACACTCCGTGGCCACCACTGCTCTTCCTTTGAGTGGGGTGACATTCCTTGGATTCGAGGGCTCTGGGGCGACAGACCGATCATCTTGAAAGGCATCCAAACGTGGGAAGATGCGCTCGAGGCAACGAAGTACGGAGTTGATGGTATCTACCTGAGCAACCACGGCGGGAGGCAGCTCGACCACGCACCGAGCTCTGTCAGAGTTCTGCGTGATATTCGACTTCGTTGTCCTGAGTTGTTCAAATCCTTCGACATTTACGTTGACGGCGGCGTAATGAGAGGCACAGATGTAGTTAAGGCCCTCTGCTTGGGAGCCCGAGCGGTGGGTATCGGGCGCGGGTTCATGTACGCGCTTAGTGCCTATGGCACGGAAGGTGTGCTCAAGGCCATATCGAGTGAGTAAATAAACAGCGAGACAGGCGTATCATGTTGCTGACTTGTTGCCTTAGTCTTGAGCGATGAGATACAGACCACCATGAGACTGTTGGGAGTAACTGATCTCGAGCAATTAAACGAGAGCTACATAGACCTCGACGACTTGGAGTCTTTGACTGGGAGACACCAGAAGGTTCTGTCTAAGATCTAGCCAAGCACCGTATGGTGCAGCGTCCGTTATTTTATCATGGCCTTTTTTTCTTTCGGGGGGTGCGTAGGTGTTACCGTTTGAAGTACTTGATGTATCACTTCAGGAAACTATCCAACTTTCGTATGTCGATCAGTTGCCCCATCGTCCACGGAGACCCGCACATCTACACCGCGCACCGGCAGCAGCTCTGGGGCTGAAGGATCGTAAAGAGGCATACAAGGGTAGAGATTTCAATCGTTCGGGGAGGGTACCCGAATTCGATGAGTTAGATGCTGATCATGAACTCTTTGGCTCAATTCATGGGTGGAACCGCAGAATGCCAACTGGAATTGTCTTTGATTCGCCAGCCTGCCCGCACAGCACTCTGCCGTGTAACCTTGCACCAACACCTGCAGGCTGGGCACTACAAAGTCCCCATAGACATGCGTCTACTTTGAACTTACTTGTTGTCAGCATCAGATATTAGCGGAGTTAGTGCGTCTCGGCGACAACCAAAAGACCCGCGCAGGAGAAGGATAAGCCCCGCGATTTGCGCGCATTTGTCTCTGCATCTTACCATTCAACATACGTATTACCAAACTCCCAAGCACGACTCTGACTATCCTGCAACTCCATTTCATATCAACCATCATAGTTCTGTGACTGTTCTCGAGCACTGTACTGTCAATGGCGTTCATTACATGTGCAACGAACCATGCCATGCTAACCTCGTTTGTAAGTATGGACGACACCTTGTTTCCGTCTCATCTTCTTCTACTAATACCTCGGGTTTGAGGGCGACGCTCTTGAGTCCGCCGGACTAAAGGTCCTCCGGCAAGGCACAGCGGCTTACAAAGCTCGTGATGAGTCCTACTTCTCTGTTTCGGCCCAGCTGAGCCCTGGTTTCATCGTCCAACCAGTATCAGCCGCAGAGGTCTCTCTGACGGTCACGAAGTTGAAGTCAATGGGCTGTAGCTGGGCTATCCGCGGCGGTGGTCATGCAACGTGGGCTGGGGCCTCCAACAGTAGGTTGAATCCTTACGGCCAGTTCCCGAATATGGCACAAATTTGCTGATTGTCAAGTTGCCGATGGCGTCACCATTGATATGGGCCTAATCAAGGAGGTACAATACTCACCAGATCTGAAGATCGCGAGTATTGGTGCCGGTGCTCTCTGGCGCGACGTCTACTCCTCGCTCGAACCATACGGGGTGACTGCTCCAGGGGGTCGCACCTCGACCGTTGGTGTTGCCGGTTTCCTCACCAGTGGCGGCAACAACTTCTTCAGCGCCGAGGTCGGTCTCGGCTGCGACAATGTCGTGAATTTCGAAGTCGTCCTGGCCAGCGGCAAGATCGTCAATGCCAACAGGGAGACCAACTCTGATCTGCACAAGGCCCTCAAAGGAGGATCGAACAACTTTGGCATGGTCACCCGCATCGACATGCAGACTGTTGATGTTGTAGAGATCTGGGGCGGTCAGATTGTTTACCCTCTCAGCACGACAGAGCAACACATCGCCGCCTATGTGAAGTGGGTTGACAACATTCCCAACTACACCAAGGGCTCGGCTGTCACATTCTGGGCTTACTCACCATCAGCCGGCACCGTCGTGTCAACTGCTGTCCATGACACCGCAAATTCCGAGTGGGTCCGGGCTTACGACGATTTCCGGAACATCCAACCTCAAACCATGAACACGCTCCGCCACGATAGTCACCTGAATATGACGGTCGAACTCGAGGAACCGACTGGGTACCGCCAGGTCTGGTTGACTTTGACGGGCAAGAACGATGCGCGTTTCATACGTCGCGCTGTCGAAGCCCAAAGCAAATTCATCGAGAACTGGAAGAACACCCAACACGCTGATTTTCTCAACTACATTACCTTCCAAGCCATGCCAGCTTTGCTCTTCCGTCACTCGGTCGAGAAAGGCGGTAATGTCATCGGTATGGATCGGGAGAAGTGCAATGCAATTCTCTTCCAGATGCAGCATATGGTTCGCTCTGCAGACGCTGAGAAAGAGGCCCGTCGGCAACTTGTCGCTTTGCGAAAAGAGCTGAAGGACTACAGTGTCGCAGAAGGTATCGACGTGGAGTGGGAGTACCTGGGCTACGCGGACAGTGACCAAGATCCGCTGAGCACTTATGGCCCTGAGAATATCAAGTTGCTCAAGGAAGTTGCGGCTAAGTACGATCCAGAGCAGGTGTTTCAGAAGAGAGTTCCTGGAGGCTTCAAAATCTCCAAGGTTGCGTGAGTTTCATTCGCAACATGGATGGCCAACGTAGCCGCGTGGTAGCTCAGCGCGGTGGAATGTCTGACTTCGGTCCAAGTAGCCGCCTTCCCAATGAATCAGGATACGCAAATCATATTTCACATTCGCACATTTGGTTAAAAAGCGATGCACTCGGCTCGCTCGCTCGGCGAAACTATTCGGGCCACTCGGCGGGGTTGTTCAAGTCACGCATCATTGGGTTTTTTAAAATGGCCGATTGCCGCACCAAATCCATCGCACCAAGCTTAAAGCCTTGTCTTCTCTTGGATAAGTGACGGGACACTTACTCTCTATTCACGAAACATAAAGCATCGAGACCTCAAAGGTATCTCGGAGTTTCCGATCCAATATTGTTGACTTACAAGCGAAGCTCCTGGTTCGGTTGAACCACTCTTATTCCAGATTGAGCTTAGCGTCCGAAACGCAAGTCACGAACCGAACGATACGAGCGCTCCGAGCGGTGCGGAGTAACTAGACCCTCCCGTCTATTTACGGATCGCCGCCCGTGGATTCCGCGTCGTGCCCACGACCCATCACCGCCCTTCAAAAAAGTGCGACGTTGACTCCCTCTCAATCAAACATCAAGGCTGCTACTGATGATGCACTCGGTTGTCTGTGCCGGCATTTGAAAGCACGGAGGATCGCAGCCCCGAGATCGATCCGCTGTCCCGGGTCAGTACCGACAGCCAGTACGAATACTTTGAAACTTTGAAACCCTTGCGACGCACGAGTCCGATCTGGTGCCGTTCACACCCCGGGCGAATGATCGGGGGCCAAACCCGCCTGCGGCATGGAGATCATCGCGGATAGCAGCAATTTGAAGATTTCAAAGAGGCCGCACCGCAAGTCCAAGCTGGGTTGTAAGACATGCAAGCAGCGGAAGATAAAGGTTCGTCCCAACTCAGTTTTGTGTACATCCCTGCTGTGTGGCTCTGCCTCTGGTCCCCTATTCTCTCCGAAAACACCTGGTCCTCTTGTACAGTTCGACAGCTCAGTCCATAACAACATGCATATAGCCCTAGCATACTGACCTGTCACACCATCCAGTGCGATGAGCTGAAGCCAGCATGTCAGAACTGCGTTAGGCATCTGGTAACATGCGACTTCCTAAAGAGCCATCCAATATCATCGCCTTTTCCAGCATTTGGCATGCACATTTCGCTACAACAAAATGCATCATCGCCAATACCATTACCGCCGCAGTTGTTGGACCCTCCGGTGGACAAAGACCTCAACTTCGTGGACTTGGAGCTGATACACAACTTCACCACTGCTGTCTACATGACATTGTCGACGGATCCGCTGGTACGCCAAATGTGGAGAGTTTCTGTGGTACGTCTGGCTCTCAAATGTGACTACGTGATGCGAACGCTGCTGTCCATATCGGCGTTACACCTGGCCCATCAACGGCCAGAACGCAAGGAGGCACTTGTGGCTAGGGCATTGTTGTACCATCGACTCGCCAGCCGTGAAGCAATGGGGTTGATGAGCAGCTTGGACGAAAGGAACGCTGAGAACCTGTTTCTCTTCTCTTTGTTGACGATATTCTTCGGTGAGTCGACTTGTTCCAGAGCCTATTAATATGCAGGAAAAGAGTCAAGAGCTGACCTTAGAGTTGTTTTTTTCAGCTCTCGCATCTGGGCGCTACCTCAAAGAATCAGCCGTCGTCTGGGAATCCGCCTTCCCAGACTGGACTTTCCTGCTCTCTGGGGCATGTTCGCTCATAAAACTCTTGAACGCGAGGATATACGACGGACCTCTGCTACCTATCATTCGGTACGCGACGGAAAGGTTCTTCACGGCCCGCGACGAGACTTCGGCACACCCAGAGAATCTCGAAAATCTCAGGAAGCTCATTGGCAGCAATTGCCGGGATGAGAACCTGTTAGATATCTACAACTACGCCATCGACGAATTACGACACCCTCTCTCGCTCGCACTGCACGGTGGCGGCCATGGCATGGATATTATGGACATGTTCATCTGGAAGTACTTCGTCGCGGAGGACTTTTTGCCCTTGCTGAAGACACCTGAGACGAACCAGGAGGCCGTTGTTATTTATGCCCACTTTTGCATTGTCTTGGGCAAACTGGAGAGCCAGTGGTGGTTGCAAGGATGGGCAAAGCATTTGATATCCCAAGCCTGGGCGTTGCTTGACGAGAGCTACAAGCCCTGGATACAGTGGCCGATGGAGGAGTTAGGGTGGGTGCCACCACAATAGTGTATTTTGACGTATTATAGAGCTCATTTCAAAGCACATTATTGAAGAACTCCCCGGTCCTTACGTCAGATATGACACCGAAGCAATCTCCGCGAACTTTTGCATTTAGGAACGGTTGCGGAGAGCATATGACCTAGATACGGAAGTACTGCTTTGTTGTTCTCTTTCCAGCCATATTTCAACAGGTCAGATAGGAGACACTAAGCGCCTACAGGCCACAAGACAATCCCGTCCGATTTCCCCCCGGATTCCCCTAAAACCGGGGCCGTCCCGGCCTTCAGCAACCAGAACGTCGGCGCCGGTACCGTTCTCCACCAGGCGCGTCACAGGCCGCCCGCCATTCTCCACTTCCCGTCGAGCACGGACCCACTCTGGCAGCGGGATGACGTCGCAACCCGCAATCGAGATCCTGACCAGCTTTTTGGGTGTCACCTTCGCCCGCCCTTTCATCCCACGTGTCGAAGCGCATCACTCGCAGCCTTGGTCGCATCAACCCAAGCCCAACGGTTATCTTTTGGCCAGTAGCCCAAGATCTCCCAGTCGATAGCCAAGCCTTGCAAATTTTCAAGCGACATCCCAGACTCTCGAGATTACCTTTTGGTCATGATTGGACTCTGGAACCACCATGCGTGGCGTGCGAGAGGTCTTTGATGTGGCTGCCAACTTCCAGGATTTGATGTCACCGCACTGATGATGTCTGTGCAGGGGTCAGCTCTGAGTCTCGACTGGGATCCTCCCCGGTTGCCTGACTGCGCGGCCAGCCTATGGCATCCCGCAGCGAAGCCTCCATCACGGCCGTTATGACGTATCCACGGGCATCATCAGCCACACGCACGCACGCACGCGTTGGCGAGGAGGGATGGCGAGTGACGACTCTGACGAAGTGTGTGCGCGTGTGCGTGTGTGTGTCTGGGCCTGAGAGAGGGGTTTATATCAGGCCAGAGCTCTTTCGTGGTTCCTCGTCCGTTTGAGGTGTTCAGCTTGTTGATCCATTCTAGACTTCAGTCGATTCTCAGTTGCTATTCACAAGCGAATAATATCACATTTCCACCAGGTCTCTCTATCAAAACCGGACAACATGGAGTGGGCAAAGCAGACATACAACCAGCAGTACGAGAGATGGGTTCCTTGGCTCGAGGACTTCTACCTGCGATGGTTCACCAAGGACAACAAGGCTAGCTACACGACCAAGGGTAAGCACTTTTTCATACTCTTCATAAAACCAAATCGCAGTGGCACATCGCTAACTCGTGAACTTCCAGACACCCTCGGCAAGACCAAGGTGACCGGCGTCGAACAAGTCGACACCCTTCAAGACGGCGTCCACAACCTCGCAGCCGGCCAGGTCGGCCAAGGCGGCCTCCTCCAGCCCATCGGCGACCTCACCTCCAAGGAGGGCATCAACCGCGCCGAGCGTCAAGGCAAGGATGACGAGGGCGGCTACGTCCCGACCGCCGTCCCGGGCTCCAGCGCCGTCAACACCGCTGCCGGTGGCATCGCCGACGGCGGTAAGGCCGTCGCCGGCACGGCTACCGACGGCGTCAAGGGTGCTGGCAGCTACGTCGGCGGCCTCTTTGGTGGCGGCAAGAAGCAGGAGCAGAAGTAAACCAGCTCGACTTCGCCGTGCTGCAAGCAATTCACAGTATGATGATCGAGGTTGGGATGTAGGGAAAGCAGGCGTTTGTTTCATCTGTCAGGACTGTCAAATAGCATCTTTTAGTCACGATAATACCCGCTCAGTCACATGAAATGATTTTTTATGAAAATTCCCCTTTATTTCCCATCCTAAGTTGGTGACAACCCCGAATGCGTTTCGTCTGGGAAAGCAAACATCAAGCCCAGATTCGGATGTGGCGTCCGCGGTCCGAATTGTTTATTGGACCTACCTGTCTCCCCATGCCCCGGTCGAAGGGGGTTCCTGTCTGTGGTGGGCGCGGGTCGATTGCTGTCTTCGCCGTTTGCTTGCCCGCAAATCTGGTTGGGCGGGTGCGATGCCCTGTTCCTGTTGCGTTTGCTGGGCTGGCACGGGCGCGCCGCGAGCCCGCTTCGCTTTTAAGAGTCGTTTGATTTCCCTTCTTGTTTCTTTCGCACCTGTTTTCCTGTCCGGTGTGTGCGCGGTGTGTTCGCTGTCTGGTGTCTGCGTTGGTTTGTTGGCGACCTGGACTGTTGTTTTTTTACCGAGATGAGTGACGAAAGAGAACGGGCCGGCCGGCTCGGCTTGCGGACCTTGACCAGGAAGACGGTTCGTTTGGTACGGAAACTGACGGGCAGGACGGATCCTGGCAAGAAGGGCCGTGGTTCGGTTGACACTGGGGTTTGGAGGGCCAGAGAGCAGCCGAGGCTCGTCGCTGGGAGTGATTCCTGGTTCACGCTTGCTTCGCCTACCGTCTGCGACGCTTCTTTCGGGGACTTCTGGATCGACGGCAAACGAGCGCAGGACGTACAAGCGCCTGAACATGGTCAAATTCAAAGCGAGTTGTTTGGGAAGCTTCCCAGGGAGATACGGGAGATGGTCTACCAGGAGCTCTGGCGCGATGCCGGGATGGGCCAGCACATCATACGCACTGAGGCCGGGTATGCTCACACCCGCTGCTTGCTCCACCGACCCGGAGACCCGGAAGAGAAGCAAGAGGGTGGTGAGCCCTGGGAGTCAATGTGGATGGTACCGGATGCCCGGGGAACGGTCCCTCTGTGGTACAAGCGGGAGATGTCGACATGGTGCGATCACTGGAAGTGCGAGGAGGCCAGAGAAGAGAACGAGATATGGAAAGATATCGCGAAGGGGCGTCGTTGCGTCAAGGTCGACACCTGGACTGCTTTCCTGCCGATGATGTTAACGTGCAAGCGGATGTAAGTGATCCATGGCCCAGACCTCCATCGTATCTCGATGATGGCAGCCATCCAACATGCTTCAGTGACTAACAAGTTCGAACAGGTATCACGAATGCGCGGCCTCGATCTACAAATCCCTCACATTCACAATAACCGACATCGCCCTCGCCACAGACATCATCAGAGCTCGAAACCTCTTCGGGACACGGCACCGGAGCCCCGCCCATCCCTTCCGCCGCATCAACCTCTCCTTCCGGCGGCACATCTACGAAGGCAGGACCTTTGAGCAATGGGTCGAATCCTGGAGCAAGATCCTCCGCTTACTCGACACGCCAGACCTCAAGTCGGTGCACCTCTGGCTAGACAGCGACGTCTTCTACGAGCGGCAGTGGCTCTCCGTGACGTCCAACGTCCTCCGCCGGATTCCGGAGGCGCTGACCCACAAAGCCGCCGTCAGCCTCCCGCCGGACGGGCACCGGGACCGGGTGGTGGGGGCCGCGTGGCTGAGCGATCTGGAGCAGATCCCGCTGGCTCCCTCGCGGGGCACCACACTCGCGGAGGAGGCGGAGGAGGAGGCGAAGTGTTTCGGGTGAGACGGCTACGGACGTGAAGCCTACGGGGGTTGGATGAGTCTAGAACCCGGGCGGGTAACTAAGAAGAGCATGTGAGGGGCATGTGATATCGGGCCCGATAGGTTGGGAGAGCTTTGCTTCAAGGTTGTGATGGGACGACGGGGCACCCGTTGATGCCGGGGCGAAGCGCGCGAAGGGCCTAGAATCTGGAGGGTCTGGAGCCAATGGACCTGTTCACTTGCCAACCTTGCTGACTGCGATGATCCTGTCACGAAGCCTCTGAGATCTCCCACCATCATGAAATCCTGCGCACGCTCACAGCCGGCGGAGGGATCCCGGTTGGACGGCTGCACACCACCTTCGGCAAACATGTATTTGACATGGCACGATTTTCAGACGCCTTTCTCGCGTGGCGGCGGAGAGAGCGAAAGTCACGGGAGGAAGCTTTGCTGTGCCTGGCATGAGTGTCTGTCCGTCAAGCTTCCAAGGCTGCACTGCACGTAAGCTTAACATCAACCACGTATGCCGTCGCTGGGCCATCGAGGTGCCGCATCGCCGCATCGCCGCATCGGCTCCGGTGCGTCTTCGGTCTTTCTGTACGTCGTCAGCCTGCGGAGCTTACGATTTGCGCCCTGCTGGCGTGGGCTGAAGCTTGGAAAAGCATGTAAAGTAACGGCGGGGAATTACTCGGGCGCGTGCGCCCACTGGATGACTGTTCACGAGTCTCAATCATCCTTTTGTGGTTCAGTTGATTGTGGTTTCTTGTTCCGGTATCCGTAATGTCGTGACAACGGAAGCCGGCGGGAATGCGTTGTGTCGTGCTCATCATGCGAGAGTCATGTTGCTACCGGATACCGCGGCCCAAAGTCCAAACATTGTGTCTTCTAATCGAGTCCGGGGCATGGGTGTTTAGGAGTAATTCCTCCGGAGATGACGGCTTCCTGGTAAATTGAAGCAATCGTGAAGATTGCGTCCGGGTCGACATGGAAGCAATCAATTGATAGATTGGGAGACTGGCAACTCACCAAGAATGAAGGGGCCCCGGCCGCCGGAGCGCAACTCAAAGGATATGTGATGAACAAGGGGCTTCCGGAGGTTCCTTTCCAGAGAGCCCGCAAACGCCCGCCGAGTCTGAAGCCCGGCCGAAACGGGACCAGATGGGGCCACTTTCGACGGGACCTGAATAATCCCCGCTGTCACCTCCACACTGCAAGCATCGTGCCATTTTCTACTCTCCGTGTCTCATTCTAAACTATTCCATGATCCATCGTCACTTTTCGAAAAGATACACCCGACTCAAAACTGCCTCAAGCATGCCGGGGAACAGCGAAGCTTGACTTGTTCGGCTCACGGCCGAGAGAGGAGGGGACGAGAAAACGGGGGCTCCATGCACGACCACGCCCAGCAGAGCGGATCCCCCAACCCGGAGGGCCCCAGGTGTCGCCGGAGTGGGACACGATATGGGTGACGAGATCGGAATCTAGATAGCTCATCGGCGGTTCTGCTCGTTATTTCGCGCGAGTCCCGGGAGTTTGCAAAAGAGAGGCTCTGCCGGGGGCCCGGGAGATGGTCTTTTTACGGTCTTTCTAGCGCTGCATATCGTACGTCTCTTTAATTCTCTAGCTTCGCACCGCCAGACGGAGGGGCGGCGCCGGTTTTGGAGCTTGCATTAGAAGGCCCTCGAAAGTCCCATGTCCATCTGCCGACTTTCTTAGTCTTTGCACCTCCAGAAACCAAGTTTTCCCATGTTCCGGAATAGCGAAGGGGGGAAATCGGGGTTAGCCTCTGCTGCGGGTGATGGGTTGTTTCGGGCGGTGTGCAGGCATCGTTCGTGGCCTAGTCGACCCGAATCGGGACGGTGCCGAAGAAGACCAAGGCTTTTGCGGTGTTTTTGTGTTGGGTGCAGCAGGCTTGCTTGCGCGCTTCAACGAGGAAACATTGCGAAGAAACAGAAAGCGAAGCTATTCGCACTTTTCTGGGGCCCAAGTGGGGTCAGAGTTGTGTGCGTGCTTTGACAGATGTAACGCTGGCACAGGCCGAGCCCATCCTCGACCGCGCTTCATGTCGGGGGCCCGATGGTACCTCGCCATCGCCTTATCTACAATGAGATAGGGCCGCCGAGGATCGAGAACATCTTCACTGCAAAAAGCAGGCTTTTCGGTGATGCATGGCCATGGCCATGGCCATGACTACGACTCCCCTCTGTTGGGGGCTACTCTACATTCAACTACATTCCGTCGCATACCACACCACTTGGCTCATGCTCCTGGTCTCACTCACCTCGAGTTAAGCATACCTTGTCGGCCACTAGCTCACATGAGCCCTCTCGTCTACCGGGGAGGTGAGGGGGCTGGCTGGGTTAGGTTGGTTTTGTGTAAGTGAGAAGCGTAGAGAAGCTGCCGGATGCGGAAGCAGTTTTGCCCACTTCTCCCACGCGAGGATGGGCGGGCGTGGCTAAACCGCATCGCACTAGCGACGTCCGGGTCCGAGATGCTGGATCTCCCCATGGTAATACGAACAGGGTAGTAGTAGAAAGCTACCGGCGCGGCGGCGGTCCTATCGCCGCCATGTTTCTTTCGACCCGGGATGTTCACGAGGGTGATGGGGTCGGCGAGTCGGCGAGTAAGCGACCTACATGGAGAGCTTCCTCGCCGGAGAAGGAGACGCCAGCTCCGGGGTTGGCAGAGGCGAAGAGGTTCTCGCTCGCGGCCCCTGCGGAAAGAAAACCCCTAGTCTTGGTGGTTTTCCTCTGACACTGACATGGCACGGCCCAGAGCTGTTTCGCAGGGGCGACTCGAGAGAAGGGAAGAGGGAGGGGGGTTCCCGCACGGAATGCGTCAAAATGAGTGTGCGGGTTCTGCAACGAACTCCTTTGGTCTAACTAAAGAAAAAAGGACAAGGCTGGCGCAATGCGAAGTGATCGACCCGTTCGCATTGTCTGACAGATCTGTAGTCGAAACCCGTCTTCCCAAGCGCCCACCGTCGCAGAGACTGAGAGCCGCTATGCCTTCGCGCCGTACGTCTGACACGCACACTCTCATTCTACCCGGGTGGCTGGCAAAACTACGAACAGACAGAGTTGTGGCGATGGTGCTGTCAAAGTCGCGGATCTGGATCGCTGGTGCGGAAGACCAGGAACAAGTCTCTTGTATGAAGGGGGGAGGAACAATTTGGCGCCCTCGTACCGGATGGGCCGTTGGACATTGCGACAATTTCTCGACAGACGCGAGATAGAGTGCGGGCGACACGGGCTTGACTCGGGTCTCGTCATCCATGATCCAACATCCGGAGCTTACGTACAACGTGCCCGTACGCAAAGCACACGATTTCCAGAAAAACTCCACGGCACCTCTTCTCAAATCTCACGATGGCTTGCGCAATGTATCCGCGACAGCGAGCGATGAGCCGAGTGCGGGGGAGCGGTAATCCCTGCGAGGCGGATTTGAGATAACCAAAATTTCCAGCTGTGGCCTCGCTCGCGCTGCACGGAGATGCGACGGAGGAGCGAATACGTGACGGGCGGTCGGTTGGCGCCGAGAGGGCAGCAGGCAGGCTTTGCTTTCGTCTTGCCGCGCCGCTGGAAGCTTGGCCTTTTTTGCTCTTCGCGCTGCGCTGCTTGTCTATATCACGCATGTTATAGAGTCCAACAAGGTGAGCCGGCTTTTGCCAGGTCCGGGGTCTCTTCTCTCTTGAGCATGGGAAAGTCAGGGAACAGGGCAACAGGGCAACAGGGCGATAACGAGGTGGCATTATAGCCCGCCTCGACGATGCCATGACGTGCCGCCTACCACCTTCTGCCTTTACCGTTTCCTTTCACGATATGGATACCGCAATTGCGGTGCGGTGCCGGGGCGGGGTTCGCTGAGTTGAGTTGGGTTGAGTGATTAAGTGCTTTTCTGCATGAGATCGGCCTGGTCGCATCGTGAGGTGAAGTCGCATCCGGAGGAGGACCTGCGACGCGCCATGGAAGTGAAAGGCAGAGAGACATAGCTGACTGAGAGTTTGACCGCCAAGGCCCCGCCATGTTTCTTTCTCCCCTTCATGATGGGGATGTGACGGCCGACTGGGATCATTCTGATGGAGCAGAGAAAACGTACATGATGGAACCGACCCCGCCAACGTGCTTCTCTGGGGTGCTTCTACGCATGATCTGATTTGGTGGCCTTCTTCTTCCACGCCGCAACGCCGCCATGTAGCTAACCTACCTAGCCGTATGTACTCCAGATGGGAAGGATTGTTCCCAAGCTGCAAGCAGACCGGGTACAGACTGCGAAAAGGGAGGCGCCAGCAGGCTGGAAACTCTCTTTTTGGAAGAATATATTGATTACTGCAGCGACAACGCCGCGATTGAGCCTGGCAATCATGTAATCCGCATCTTGGCGGGCTTTTGCCCGGCACTTGGACATGCCGCTGCTAGTGTACATCATTAGCTCGACCGCGCGGGGGGACGATGAGGAGGAGGTTGGACATCAGCAGCTGCATTCAAGCGGTCTTTTCTTCCCTGCCTTGCGCAAGCTCCGGCGAGAAGAGACGGGAAAAACATGGGATAGTCTGAATCTGCCGACTTAGACTTCAGGTCTAGACTTGGCTTTCCTTCTGTCTCTCAGCTCGACAAGCGGTCTGACGGGCAGACTCTGTGCTCTTACATCGTGCCTTCAATGCTGCCAATCCAAACGCCGCCGCCAACCCCCCCCCCCCCCCCCCGCGCGCGCAAACCCGTTCTTGGAAAAGCTCCCCCCGTCGAAGTGCCATCGGAGCAATAAGGGCGCCCATCCTTGACCAGCTGGGATGACGAGCGAGCCACATGGAACGATTGGACCGCCTCTATCGCAACGTCGTGCGTGCTTGGGTAACTGGCCTCTGGGGATTTGTTGCCGCGCCGAGACATGCTGCAGCCTCTTCAGCCCTCGGGCCTCGTGGCAGCATCTCGCAGCAGGAGGAGCACGAAGGCTTTTCCTCGGGGAAGGGGGCGAATGCGACGTCGGGGTAGGTACTTACACCGCGCTGCTGTAAGTCGACAG